AATCGGCGCTTTAGGGTGATTGCGTAATATGCGTGCACTATGACCTTTGACCCTTTACGGGTCATGCAGCTTTGATGCCGGCCGCCCTCCCACCCGACGTCCGTCCGTTTTATGGGCAAATTTCTACTTTTTTAGAGATTTCCGGACCTAAAAACTAACACCAGAGGGAAAATAAACAACATACGTTATTTTCGTGGTAAATATCACTAAAATGGACCACGCATTTTTCTTCCGCGTTGCCGATTTTTGAGAAGGCATCGCCATGTACTTCACGGCGATAGCTACTCGCCTTCCCCCGTCCGGTTTTGTGGGCAAAATTTCCTCTTTTTCAGACGTTTTGGAACTTACAAACCGACAGCAGGCGAAAAAAAAATAATATACATTATTTTCATGGGAAATGCCGCTATACTGGCCCAGACATTTATCTGTTGCGTTAACCGAATTTTGCGGCCGCCACATGCTCATGGTGCGGTACGGTAGGGAATTTTCCACGGCTAGTTCGTAAACGTATCGGCTTTATTAACTTATTTTCGGGGTCGAGGGCTTTGTTTTACAAACCAATCAGACAATTAGCGTTGTTTACATGACTTACAAACGCTAGCGGGGCGCCCGATGTTCCACCAATGACAGCGATTCTCTCGGTAGCGTCGTGCGAAATGGTCATTGTTTACTCGATTATCGCCCATTCACAAGTTTCAGAAACAATGCCGACGGGAAAATGGACGCCACTCGCGTCAAGATTTCGATGTTTTTTGCCTATTTATCCGCGAAAATACGAAGAGAAGACCCTTAATTTGAAAATTTTGGGAGTGGCGCTAGAATTTTTGGGAGTGGCGCACCGCCGTTGCACCATTGCCTGGGGAGACCCCTGATTAAGCATTGAGTAGGTTAACATCAATCTACCATAATTAATAGTCTGAGCCTAGGAAAAAATGTTGTGTTTCAGTCTTGAACAATTAGGGTCGGTAGGTAGGGATTATCTTTTTTTTTTTAGACTTTGGCAATTTTGGGCTACTGCACTGGGAAATTTATTATGACCAGGACATGTTGAAAACTGATTGTACAACGTTTCATCACTCTGGTGTCAGATCATGGAGCTAGTAGGTTGATCAGCTTGAAAGAAGGCTAGGGTTGGCAGTTTTTTTCTAGGCTTGGTCAGGAGATATGAAACACAACATTTTTTCCCTAGGCCCTGTGACTGTTGTGTTTGCAACAACAGCAAATACCCAACAAGATCCAAGATGAAGTTTAAACTTAAAATCTGTGCCTTCTCCAGACCGGTACAGTCAGTGGACATTAAGAAAGAGGTCCTCGTTCCCATGTCTGGAGTGAGTGGACAGTTTCTCTCCTTCCTTTGCACCACCTACACTGACATGTTCACACTACCAGGCTGGGGTGAACCCTGCCCTATAGGAGTGATTACAGTAAGGCACGGGTGTGCAGGAAGGTAGACTTTAAAAATGGTACGTGCTGCTTTTTCTCTACTTAGCATTTGGGAAAGAGTATGGGAGTGAAACACACAACACTACCAGTGAAGTCGCCCCCTGCTGTAGTGATTGCACAACTATGTGCCCGAAAAGAGTAGGGTTCCTTCCCAGTGTGAGTGGTTCAAAACTTACTTACAGTCTGGTTTCAAGGTGGACATCTTGAAAAGGTGATAGTCATCTGTTTTGTCAATCCTTCTACAACTTTGTTATATCTTCGTTAGTAAATAAAAACAGTGGACTGAAGTTGCCCACCTGTGACCAGTGCCAGTCTCTCCACCCCCTCAAAGTCTGCATGTTCGATGGCCATCACACCCGCATCTGCAAACAGCTGCTCTGGGTAGTTGTAGATCAGTTGCCTAGGAAACAAGAAAGACATTTTTATACCCTTATAAACAAGCCATATTCCTAAAAACTGATAATCAGGAGGCATAAACTTGTGGTTCAAAAACTGGTAGATGTGAATAATTAAAAGATGCTGCATCAGTAAAATAAGTGTCCTCGTCTCCTCCAAGGTACAAATTGAAGGTCAGAAGGATCTATTGGAGTTACCATCATATGCAGTACATGACTGAAAACAACAATTATACAATGTCTTGTGAAAGTTTAAAATGTTAAGTCTACCCTCACTTTTAAACTACAAAAATGTAAAATGGTGTCACAAAAAATATTATCAAAAAGATTCTTTCTAAAACCATTTCAGATTGGGATCAAATACAGTGTTGTCACTGGTAACTATCCTGGGAGCCAGACTGTTGTCAGGGCCAATATACACATAATAAAGGCTAGCAAGTCTGGCCTGTGTACTGGCCTTGAGAGCAGTCTGGCATCCAGGCTATATGGTAACTAACCTATTGATGAAGACATTAATGTTGTGCTTGAGGATCCTCCCGACTTTCTCCTTCATTTTCTCTTTCTCAGCCAGCTCCAGTTCTGCTACCTTAGCAACCGAGTCCACACGCACTCGAGACCCAAACACCTAAAGACAGATAGAACAAATAGGACATCAGGTTTATTAGCAGTTTAAATCTCAGCATTTTTTCCTGACCATTACTGTTAGTGTTACAATGCAAGAATCACAACCAAACACCTACAGACAAATATAAAAAAAAAACATTAGGTTTGTTATACAAAATATAATAGCAGTCTCAATCTCAATATTATTTTCCTAAACACTACTGTAACAATGCAAGGATCACAACTTCTTTTGTCAAATGCAATCTCATTTTTCTCCATAAAGGTTTAACCCTTAGCACACTGAAGTAGCCATTTGGCTACCAGTTCTTTATTGGTTTGGGGTTAGGCAGCAGGGAAAATGTTAAAATCATTTTGGTGATACCTATTACAATTTATACTTGCATAAAACAATGAGCAACTAAATAATGAACTACTAACTAGTACTATGTCATAGATAATATGAATGAAAAGTCAAATGTTCAAAGAGTCTAACCTTAATCTTGTCAGCGTCCATAGCCGTGTTAGCAATGAGGATTCGGGCATTCTCCACCCGTTTGGGCTGGTTCACACCTGGCTTCTTCTGTAGCAGGAACCCTGGCACGGACAAACACATCAATTTGTATCAAAACAAATCCTTAGGTGACCTATTTCTTTCAGGAATTGCCTAAAGAACATACAAAGCATCAGAATTCAGATTTGCTTACCTTCATCAAGGTATGAGTCGACCAACCCACCACCTGGGATCTTAATGATCTTAATGGCGTCAAGGGAAGTGGAGCCCTGGAAACAAGCCAAAATGTCATCAGATAAACTTACGTGAGCCTTTGGTTATACATGAAATACTCAAATCAGCCTGCTGGTGGCTTTTCATTGAGGTTATGAGGGAAGAGGCCAGGGTCAGACAAAAAAAAAGACACAGATTACATGGTTGCAGTCCAACCAAATCCATGAGTGTAAGAACTATTTCAACTTTGCAACTATTTCAACTTCAACCATTGTGAGAACTATTCATGTCATCTTACTATCCCAAAAGGTAAGCTTTTCACTTGACACTAGCAGAAATAGCTACAAAACAAGAGGTTTTCTATCAGATGTATCCTACCTTAAGTCTTAGCACAGCGTCCACAGATAGCTTAGAGAAGTGTTCCTTATACTGAGTGAGGATCTTAGAGCCAAGGGTGGTCCGGGCGATGTTCATCAGATCCTCTCGGAACTTGTCTGGTTCATTACTAGGAATAAAAGGTTAATTATATGAATGAAGACCACTACTATCAACAAATTAAACAGACATACAATGTACAAAACATACTTTCAAAGTTTCTACGAAATTACTCTATAATAACCAAATAAAAATAGGACAATGCAAAATGAGGACAATGCAAGAGAGCAGAGCAACAAAGCTGGGAGAGAAGAATATTAGAAAATTTATGTCAAAATGCTGCATTTTATGGCTTCTTGAGGGTAAAATTATGGTTAAACAAGTTAGTTGAAGACTTTGGCTACGGGTAGCCTGGTGTACTTTTGGAAGAATCTAGTCCGTAAGGTATAACTATGAGGATGTAGCACCCCTGTTCAACTCTTTAGAAAATAAATATAACTCTCCAAGCAATGTTAAGTGAAAACATTATCTTTATGACTCACCCATGGTCCAGTGAAGCATCCTGTAGCGCTGCCCTGGCTGCGTCTGTAGCTCTGCGGAATCCTGCCACGATGGTCTGAGGATGGATCTTCTGAGCAACCAGCTTCTCCGCTTCCTTCAGCAGCTCGCAGGCCAGCACGGTCACAGACGTGGTCCCGTCTCCTACCTCATCGTCCTGGACCTTGGAGATTTCTGGGTGCGACACAAGATTTGGGGTGATAAGAACAAGTGGGAAAACCAAAGATACACCACAACAACTTTCTTAGTAATTTAATGGTTACTTCTTGAGCAAATACCCCACTAGGTTTACATGTACTTCAATCAATCAATCAATCAATCAATCAAATGTACTAGAACTGTTCTTTATTGATGAGAAGTTCAAATTGGCCTTCAGGCCACTTTTCATTGAGGTCATGAGGGAAGAGGTAAGGGTCAAATCTGAGGGGTGTTACGCATTACTGTATCAAGATCAAGAAATGTATTAAAAAAAGTTTACATCATTTAGTAATCAAGTCCTAATAAATCTATACACATGGAGTCAAGTGTTTAACAAAATCTGTGCCTTCTCCAGACCGGTACAGTCAGTGGACATTAAGAAAGAGGTCCTCGTTCCCATGTCTGGAGCGAGTGGACAGTTTCTCTCCTTCCTTTGCACCACCTACACTGACATGTTCACACTACCAGGCTGGGCTGAACCCTGCCCTGTAGGAGTGATTACAGTAAGGCACGGGTGTGCAGGAAGGTAGTCTATGTAACACAAACTCTCTCTGTCTAGAGCTGTACTCTGCCTCTGGACTAGGAGGTTGGGAGAGTTTGAATCCCAGCTGTTGTCGCTCACCTGACATGCACGCTACTGTTAAGGGTCACAGTCCTTAGGACGGGACATTAAGCCGTGGTTCACTGTTCATTGTGCTTGTCGAAAAGAGCTAGGGGAATTTCCCCGGTACAATGAACCTGTACATACTGTACATAGCATCTGTCTTCTCTGTCATGACCAGTGGAAGAGTAGCTCTTCACTCACTCACTCACTATCCAGGATTTGATTATACTGCTGCTGTTGTCCCTGCCACAGGGTCGGCTAGTAGTCTGCAGCAGTCGGCTAGTAGTACTGGTCTTCACACTGCACCTCCAGGCAGCCCTGTCCAGTGGGTCAACACCGGCAAAGCCGTGCTCTCTAATGTCTTTCTTCACACACTCTATCCAGGTCAACTAAACTGGTTCGAGATCACTTTCACTTTCCACCTTACCTACGAGGACCTTAGCTGCAGGGTTGTCCACACCAATGGACTTCAGGATTGTAGCTCCGTCATTGGTCACCTGGATGTGCTCATGGGCTGGGTTGGAGGACTGAAGGATCTTGTCCTAAAACAAGCCACAGAAGGACATGTTAGAGTTGTATTCTGCCTCTGGACAGGATATTTCTATCAGGAATACAGGTACAAAAAATATAATAAACATTGTAAATGTAATACACATTTTGAATAGAAAAGAGGCATAACCTAACAGAATAGCTTTCTTTCTCCTTTCAGATAACACTCACTCACTGAGTTTAGATTTTCAATTTTGTCTGTCATTAGGACTCCAACTTGAAGGAGGATGGAATGGTTAAAATTTTTGTGTCTCTGAGTCTGACAGCAAAATACAGTGAAAAGAACCTTGAGTCAAGATGTTATGGAGCTCTGTTTTACAAAATTAGATCATTCTTTGAAGAGGACAAAACTAAGGATAACCAATTACTTGACATGTATATATATCTATGAACAGATCTCTATCATAATTCATATAGATCAGCACGTCGGCAGAACGTACTGCGCCTGTGCAGAACCCTGGATTTTCGCATTTTTAGTTGGATTTTTGGTCAACGTTGCATCAGAATTTTCACTGTTGCAGAGGATATCTTTTCTGACAAAACATTTGGAAACTACTGTCGCAATGCTAACCTTATGTGAGCGAATATGACCTTATATGAGACATTCTGCTGAAGTGCTATGTACAATACATTACGGGTTTCGCGCAGGTGCAGTACGTTCTGCCGAAGTGCTATATAGATCCATGTATAAACGACTCCATCCGTGTTACGTACCATGCCCTTTGGTCCCAGTGTGCTCTTGATGAGATCGCCGATCGCGATGGCGCCGACGAAGGACGACAGACGAGCGGTCTCTCCTCGCTCCTCCTCCGCCTGCTGCTTCAGGATCTGGATGGGGTTCAGCGCCATTCCCGCCTGGGGAAAATAAAACACACCACACATTCAATATGCTGACTACATTATGCTACTAACCTAACATTGCTTCCACTGACAAGGCCTAGGAAAAAAATGCTGTGCTTCCTGTGTCAGTCTTAGGGTCGGTAAGTACTAGGATCTTTTTTTTCCCCTTCTTTTCTTATTAGACTTTGGCGATCTCCTGGTGACCCAACTTATACAATACAGTTGAAGTTGAACAAAGTAAAACTTGCATGAGGACACATATCAATGTTGGAAAACCCATTGTACAATGTTTTATCACTCAGGTGTCAAATTATGGAGCTAGATAAGATCAGCTCGAAAAACCCATGTCCACCCAAAAAAAGGGCTAAGGTCAGCAGGCTACTAGGGTCAGTCAGGGAACAGGAAACATGACATTTTTTTCCTAGGCCAAAGGCCCCTTAAAGCTTGACAGCCGACACCTCTAGTAATCTCGGGAAGAAGAAACTAAAAAAATTAAATCAGCGAGAAATTGTTTTAAACTGTAAGTGTAACACAGAAAGTTTGCTCTGTGATTGTGGAAGTTTACTCTGTGCCTTCTCCAGACCGGTACAGTCAGTGGACATTATGAAAGAGGTCCTCGTTCCCATGTCTGGAGCGAGTGGACAGTTTCTCTCCTTCCTTTGCACCACCTACACTGACATGTTCACACTACCAGGCTGGGCTGATCCCTGCCCTGTAGGAGTGATTACAGTAAGGCACGGGTGTGCAGGAAGGTAGTCCATGTTCTTGCCTTCCATGCTTTTTTTTAGGTCCAGGCAATGCAAGTCTGACTGGGCCTTTTTATCCAAAAGGATGTCCAAATTTGGACAGCTTTCTGGTACTTTCTATAACAACGTAGCAACTAAAAAAATGTGATCAGCAAGCTTCCACTGGCCTGTTCCTTTACCTGAGTATAAGAAATTTGAAAGCATGAAGGTGTGGGAAATGAGAACAAATCGTCCACTCGGCAATTTAAAAGTAAATTATTTTACAGAAAAGAAAAAGGGATGGGGAGGGGGGCACATCATGGCACCAAAGAAAGACATGCAAAACCCCACGTGCACTGCACTTCGCTTCACACGGAAAAAATTAGCAGAATTCATGTCATATCGAAATCTGAGGACATAGAGTCATGCACTAGGAACAACTTAAGGATACTGCAGTAAGGAAAGCTGGAAATATTTCTCTAAACGTACCATTTTGCTAGCTGGTAACGGTGCTGGTAGATGTTTCTAGATTTTTCTACCACCGGCGTTTAGTGATGCGTGCACCAAACGTGTCACAACTAGAAAAATAATTTTAAAGTCAAAAGAATTCAAATACAATTTCTGCTACTTTTTTTCTGTCAGATTTCTGTCTACTATTTACGTTGATACTTCTAAATGCAAAACCCGTGAGGTAGATATTGAAATATGTTATCTTCTGTTAAAAAGAAATTGTAACTATGAGTTACGTTTTTGTGCCTTCATCTGCTCGAACTGTAAGATCTCGCGAGATTTCACGATAATTACAAAATCTGCGAGACTAGCGCGAACTGCACGACGGGAAAACTACCAACGATGGCGGCAGCTTCAAGTGGACAGACATTCGGTAAGTTTCACATTTTTGACAATTTCTACCTTTTTTTGTTCCTTTCCAAAACACTTTTTCCTCAGAATATAATCCTTACAGCACCAGGAAGTAAATCTGAGCTTTTCCGGGTGAGTTAATCGCCGTGATTTGAAAGAAAAATACAGTTAATCCTTGGAATCCTGACGTGACAAGATTGATTCGGCAGTTGGTGGCTCGTTTACAAGAACCGCGTCTAAGTAAACAGAGAAGGTTTTTCTTTTGTCTGTTTGAATGGGCGTGAAACGGCAGAGGTAAAATAAGTTCCAGATTCATGTGTATCGGTTGTAGAATCTTTGAAGGATGTGTATCGAGAAAATTGATTAGTTATGGCCCATTTAATCTGCACATAACATATGTTACTGTTACGTCTGTTAGCTTTTGCGTGGGTTTATGCTCTTTTCAAAAATAATTTATGCACTCAGGATCTCCCTGGAGTACTAGTAGACAGCATGACTGCCGAAAAAGAAAACGTTTAGAGTTTAGTTTCTTGGACAAGTTATCCATGGTGTGCAGACATTTATAGCATATGCACCTAGATTCATAGGTCAAAATAAAGTTACAGAAATTGTACTGGCCTGATAATTTACACACACAAATTACTTACTGTGGTATGACTATGAGGAAGGAAAATCTATTTTTTTTTGTGGATATCCTTGGACCATGTAGGAATCTGCAACTCCATGCCTATCAATAACAATATGGTCTAGTGGTTAGGACTTGGTGCTCTCACCGCCAAGGCCCGGGTTCGATTCCCGGTGTGGGAACCACTGTAAGAAACAGGGGGAGCCGTAAAAACCCACTGGGCCCGGGCCGGGGTTCGAACCCACGACCTCCCAGGCACCAGAGCTAATCATAACCAGACGCTCTAACCACTCTGCTAAAAGGTCTAGACCTGTTTGCCGGATCTGTTGGTAGCGCCTATAAATCCCCCCTGTTACATATGGAACAGACTACTACATGTAATTCTCAAGTTCTAGACAATTTATATCTTTTACAACACAGTCACCATCTCAAGTACACCATGACGTAATTTACCAACTATCAAACTACCATACCCATCAGAATCTGTCATTGATACATATAAATAAATTTTAACAGGCCCTTTCAAGGCGACACAAATCTGGAATGGAATTATCCACCACCTCCAAGAGCACGCGAACGTTCGGAGACACCGGCGAGGGCTGAAGTACCACCAGCACTGCTTCACGGGCGCTGACGCCGTCAGTGTTCTCCTGATCTACCTCCAGGACAACAGTCTGCAGTTCGGGGCCTGCGATATCACCAGGATGAAAGTCATCAGATTGTGTCAGGTGGGTATATGGAAAAGGTATCCAGGGTTCAAATTTCATTTTTGGGAAGAGATGCACTGGTGCACCATATAAAATAAAATAAGTCTGGGTAGAATGTCACCAAAAACTAATTATGTTTCATTTCTAAAGAAAAGTGCTACAACAATGATTTTATTTTTCCTGACACTGAGGTGTTAAGAATATGCTTTATTATACTACTGTACATTTAACATCTTTATATGACGTAAACCCACCTTGCAAACACAGAAAAAATTTTTAAAAATTAGGAACGGTATTGAAAGGTGGAGCCCATCCCTCTCCTTCCACCTCCTTCTAGTTTTACTGCCCAAACCTAGCCTGGGTACCATCCTAGTTAATTTACATCTGCTGCCTCCAACAATTGTTTAAAATTTTTTGATGTGTTTTGTCCTCAGGTTCTGATGGACAATGGAGTGTTCCAGCCTGTTGGTATGAAGGCCAAGTCCAAAGGGAAGAAGTCTCGACCATTCGATGACAGCAACAGCAAACTCTACAGGTGACCCATTTACACTAAAGCCCCAAAGCGGTATGATTGTTTCCATAAAGTTGCATGACACAGGGCTGTGGTTAGTTGACAGCTCTATATATTACCATTGATCATGAGATGTCTTCCATATTTGTTGATCCTTTATACCCAGCTCCAGTAAGCAACAAATGTAGGGAATAATATTATAAGGGAAAGGGCAAAAAAAAGTGTTTAATAACTCTTACGTTTCTTGTTTCAGGTTCACAAAAGCCAGTAAGTCAGGAGAAGGCAAGGAGAATGTGGTCATGACAAGTGAGGACAGGTGAGTAGAAAACAAGTTCTAGATGTACACAAAAGACTCAGTTCCTTAAGATTTACTTTATGTTCATTACTGTATTATTTTATCTGTCTGCCAGATATGATGAAATATATATGGAGCTTTACAAAGTGTCATACAATTCGCAAGTGTCCTTGAAAAGTTTAGGTGCAGTTTAGTTTGATGCTTGTATCTCTGTTGTGAAATAAGCCAGTTTACTACTTCTACTGGTACTACTACTACTAATTTGAAAGCATGCAATTTTAGTTTTATTCAGAAGATTTATATGCAGGATGTGGCAGATTCTAATCTATTTATATCTTGTGTTTCTCAGCCAATCAGAAGAGGAGGATTCGGGTGTGATCCAGAACACCCTCGCCATGGCAACCAGTGATGAGATTCTGCGGGAGCTGTTCGGGGAGACGTACAGCCAAGAGACGGATCGCGAGTCCATCTGGTCCTCCACCAGCAGTCTGGCCAGTAATGGTTCAGGCTGTAGTATATCACACGCAGGTTTGTTACTCCCAGCCTCTCCCTGCCTTACCCTTACCCATTCCTACCCTTGGTATTATCCAGTCGTTATGTTCCACACAGTTGTAACAGTATTTACGCCATCCATGGTGGCTTTTCCCTCACAATGTGGCATGCAAAACCAGCACTGAACAGATTTTCTGGTGGCAGATTCATAACTGCAAATGCAGTGTAAATTGTTGTATGACAAATAGGCAGTTAAATCTGCAAGGCACATTTAGTGTAAAACACTAAATTACATCCTTCTTTAGAAAAACGCTGCATGTGTTACTGTAAATCTTTAGTGGCTGCTGTACATCAGAGTTTACAAAGTTAAATGATCAGTTCGTTGTAATTAACTGTTTGTATTAAAACTGTGTGCTCCGATTATTGCATGTGCATCCTTTCCCTTCATTCATCCCTCCATCCATCTATCCATCCATTCTCGTATGCCTCAATATTGTGTTGTCTTTACATTTGTACATTTCAGGTACCTTCAACATTCACACACTCACTCACTCGTTCATTCATTCCAACTTCATACACCGTGTTCTAGCCAGAATTCCACTTTCCATCATTTGATGGAATTTAGCCACTCATTTCCCCTCAAAATGCAGGAAATATAGCATTTCAATATTTCAAAGTTTCTCAGAAAGCATGCCCCCTGCCCCCCCCCCCCACACCCACCCCAAGATTGCCACATGCAGCGCTTGACATGATATTGCGTTATATAAATAAAATTGAGACAGCAAAAAAAAGTTCAGGCTGGCTAGAACGTTAACACAGATCATACTGTACTACATTTCATTTATCATCAACCACCCATGCTGTCCTCCCGCTGCGGCTGCTGTGACTAACTCCGTGCTGTCTCCTGCTGTACTAATTTCCAGACCTTTCAGTCCTAGACGAGGTGTGGAAGGAAATGACGCTGGTTAAACTGCTGACCATCGTGGAGCTGCCCCTCCTGGACGGTATCCTGAGCATGTGTAGTGAGGCCAAGCAGCAGAGACTGAACATGCGCCGCGGTCTGGTTATCTCCAACACCTGCTGCACGGCAAGCTCCGATTCAGATAGCGACAGCATACAGTAAGTCTTAGAAATCTAACATATAACTGAGTACTTATTACTTGTACCTGTACATGAAACAAATCCAAGCGAAGGCCACTGTGTCAACTCTCCTCACTCAGGTGTAGGAACTGACATGGTCTCCATTGTGTCTTGAAACAGAAGGATGCCAACAAGTACATTAAATTATTTAGGAATAGACCTAACATTTGGTTTATCTGTACCTGAACAAAAATAAAACACTTGTGTACACCATTATTTTAGGATATATAAATTGTAATTCTCAAAGGTGACAATTTTGACAATTTAACACTTGAAAACTTCTAAATGCTCGTTCTTAGATTTAGATTTGTATACCCTCAAACCGCGATTAAAAAGTTGATTTGGCAGTCGCAACTATGATATCAGAAACATGATAACATTGAAATGATGTGTTTTCTTTTCCAAAATGTCCAGTTACTTCTTGACCCATGACCCCTGGATAACCTCTGGCCTGGCATGTCTGGACTTCATGCCAGAGAACATTGGAATGAAACTGAGCAACGCGGCGGCCGACACGCCCGACTGGAAACTCTCTCTGTACCAGGCCATCGCAGACCACTACACACACCTGCACGAACCTCTGTTGACCAATCGGCTGTTCGATGTGCATGTGGCTGTCCTGACTCTGATTGGTTAGTTCCTTGGCTGTCACATGATTATCACATGGTCGGTGCATGTAACAATGCATGACTGGCATATGTAACACTATGCTAGCTGCATGAACCTCTGCTGACCAATCGGCTGTTTGATGTACATGTGGCTGTCCTCACTCTGATTGGTTAGTTTCTCAGCCGTCACATGATGATCACATGACCACTGCATGACTGGTGCATGTAACACTCCTGATGTTGCAAACGAAAAACTATTCTCTACTAAGTGTCCTGCATTAGGATAAAGGTGCTTTTGTGAACGAAAAAGTCAAAATTATATCAAAATCAACTACTATACCAGTACGGTGCTTGGTTATGGGTTAAATTATTAGGCCTACTTGTTACTTTTTCTACAGTGCTACAGAAGGAAATCATTCAAAGTGCATAACCAGTGCCAATGTGTTTTATTACATTGTCTAATTGTCCGTATGTTTTTGTTTGCTACCCTAGTGAAGAATAAGTTAGCCCAGGCAGTGAAGGCCCTACAGCTGGTTCTCCTGCTGCTGCCTTCAGAGAGCCGGGAGGAGCTGAGGAGGTTACTCCGCTTCATGGCTCTGAGTTCCTCCAACACACAGCTGGTATTCCATAAACAGGTTTGCTTCTTTATTTTATTTTTGCCTCACCGATATCAGTACATGTATGCTATGGGAAAGGATTGAGTCAACTTACTACATTAAAAGAAGGACAAGAACAATTTACATTGACTTTGAAAATCCAGTTTTGCCACCCTGAAATTGCATTGGATGCCATAAAGATCTTTGTGTTTTTCATAAGTGAACAATTCCTTGAATCCAACATACCGTAGAATGAAACAATGTGAGATCTCTGGTAGAAAAAGGGTATAAAAAATTTCAACTCACCAAATGAGCCAACAGATCTAATATACCTACTCCTTATACAACACACATACATACATTTTGTAGTTGAAAATGACCCATGCTATTTGTACTTTATATCCCAGTGTGACAACAGGACGTCCATCCGTAGAGCCTTCACCAAAGCCATCGTGCGGAACCCTGTCCTCGGCAAAGGCCAGACCGAGCAGCTGGTCATGTACATGGTCGACAACCACCGCGAGATCTTCCAGATCCCTCCCGATCTGAAAGAAGCCGTCGAAATGAAGATCCAATCCTTACGATCGGGGGTGAAGCCAGAAGACATCCCTCTAGGTAAGGGTGAGTGACGTTTCGAGTTCCTCCCTGCATGCAGTACACTCTCCAGGGGCTAGGAGGTGCCGCTGCACTGTCGAGGCCGGGGGTTGGTTTTTGATACACCCCCGGCTTGATGGTGAAGTGGTACGACCCTGGTCCTTGCGAGGGTGTTGTCCGTGTTGCATGTCAACCAATCAGGGAATGCATGACAAATCCAGCATGACAATCTTTGATCTTTAAGGTAACATAACCTCGCCTTGCCAGATCTACACCTACCTCTTTTGGATCACAACAAGATCTCATAGATCTGCACGGCACCTCGGATCGACTCGGATCACGAAAAATCATCACACAGTCTTAAGTGCACAGTAATAACTACTACTAGTATTTACTTCTGTGTGATACTTTCTGTACAGACTTATGGAGGCTACTTTTACTTTTTTTAGTAGCAGTGTTTTTAGAACTTCTATTTTGGGGGGGATTTTTTTTATAGAAGATTCAATAGGAAAGCAGCCTACATGAGGCTGTACATGAACTATAACTCTCTGTATGTATGGCTTTGTAAGCTTACTGTGTTCTTGTGCACCCTTTACAGTTGCAGGGAGGAACCCCTCTTTGCCAGGTATCTATTGTAGTCAAGACAATAACAGATCCTCTGTTCAATCATGCATGTTGAACTGTTTCACAGAAATAAATCAGTTTAAGAAGTTAAAACTGGTCACTTACTAATGACACTGTTCTCCCATTTTTAAGGTGATTTGTTGTCTGAGCAAGTTGATCTGTCTGGGCATAAAAGGCAATTATTGTGAATCTATGAACTAATAACATATGTTGGGGTGTTTTACATTTTTCTTTTAGAATTATATTTTGTCTGTTAGGATGGTTGGAAGTTAGTGGATGTCATCATTGTTGTACAAAAGCATGTTGAATTCCTGTGTACTGAATTAATTCATTTTCGAGGTGATTTTATTTTGTGACAGGAGGAAAAAGGTAATTTTCATGGTGTTCTAAATCCGTGTTTGAAACAATTCCACAGTGCAGTTACTGCAGTATGTGCATGTGTCATAAATTCATGTTGGAAAATCGCAAAATTAGCCTGGGTACCATCCTGGTTAGTTTACGTCCGCTCCCACAGTCACTCGGTGGGAGCGATTGTAAACTAACCAGGATGGTACCCAAGCTGTGCAAAACTAAAACCACCCCGAAAGTTTCGATGTCAACAGTATTTCTGACCAAATGCAATCTTCTCCCTTGTAGGGGTTGGCTTCTGCAAGCGAATCACGATCCAGGAATACGAGGCTCAAGCGATCACGGAGACAGAGAAAGCGCTGGTTGAGATGATGAACAGGATCCTGGACCACACCAAGATGTCCGTCAAGGAGAAGCAGCGCCGTCTCAACGACTTCTGGAGACACCACCCCAAAATCTACGCCAAGTTCTTCTCCGGGATGATGTGATGTTCTGATCATGTGGAAGCATGTTGGCAGAACGTACTGCACCTGTACGAAACCCGTAATGTGTTGTGTATAGCACTTCGGCAGAATGTCTCATAGAAGGTCATAGTTGCACATGTAAGTTTAACATCCCGTCTGTAGTTTCCAAATGTTATGTCGGAAAAAAAATTGTCTGCAATAGGCAAAATTCTGATGCAACATTGACCAAAAATCCAACGAAAACTGTGAGAAATGGGGGTTTTACGCAGCACAGTGTGTTCTGCGTACGTGCTTCATGTGGACACAGTTTCAAAACCTCAAGTGCCAAGCAGTAACTAGGATGAACCATGGGCTGGTTTAGGAGAAACAAAGTGGAGGAGGGGGTGAGATGACCATTTGAAAAAGTAACTCCTATACATGCACATCATATTCTTCTTGCCATGAAGTTTCTTGTACATACCCTTTCAGTCCCTGATATCAATACTGTTATTGTTAACCACAATTGTTGAAATGGTAAAAGATGGTCAGATTAGCATGAAATCAAGTGTACAGTATACTTCAAATCAAAGTAAAGTTAACATGTACATATTGTAAAAGAGATCATACCTACCTCCCTGTCTACAGATCTTGTTATAACATCTGTCCCCCAAATGCTTTTTAACTTTGTAATTTTGGATAGCAGTTTCACATTGCCATTGAATGATGACTGAATTATGTAACTTCCAAGTTTTGCTCCCTGTGCGAAATGTGCCAATTGTAGGAGGGTAAAAATATAGTGACATAGTTTGTAGTGACATTATAATGGTTGATTCCTATGATAGTATGAAAAAAATATTTCTTCTTATAAGTACTTGTACTTGAATTTTACCTGTAACAGCCACATACAAGCATATACTCCAGATATTTGTCATCCAAGATATAGCCATTCCTCTTATGTGCCTCTATACTGGCACTGCTTTTGCAATATTTACTCATATTTATTTTATCTTATTTACTTGTGTACTTTATTGTAGTAAAATAAATAAGCGTTTCTTTAGAAGCTGTATGATTTTATCAAGTTTGATCTTTTTAGTCAGTGATCAGTAGGCAATCGTTTTTACACCAACTTAGACAGAGCCAGGACTGGCCTTACACATGCTCAGGGTAAGTAACTTGACTCACCGTTTGATTTAAACTTTAAACTCTAAAACAAATAACAAACCTCTCTACAATGTTGAATCAAAAATTTAGTGCCATTTTATAAACCAGTCTGCCAACAGGATTAAAACTTTCCAATGGACTCCAAAGTTTTCATTAATTTAAACAAGAACCAAAAGGTAGATTATGCATTATGACCAGCTTGAAGAGCTTTTGAACTAAAACATGCAATGTGCTAACAACTTGCCAAGAATATAAACACGACAACAAGAGTAACGTTTGTACAAATAAACCTATTTATTCATCAATAAAGACATAATAAAAAATCATGCCAAGTCACTTGTATTTTTTTTGTCTTCTACACGTGTCTTGTACACATTTTGAAATTGCTATTACAAGTGTCTGCTATGAATAGGATGCTTTCTGTGACAATGTACAAATGCTGCTTCCATTTGTTACATTCTTCCAGATTATTAGGTCATCAGTTTTATCATAGCGTCCGATTTGAAGTCTCTGATCACAGTGTTGAGAACGATGCAGAGATGTTGGTGTCCCTCTCCATGTTGCAGTTTTCCCTGGAATGTTGCTTCTCCATATGATAGCTGCATCTCTAGTGGTTACTGTGGGAAAGAAAAATACAAAACAGTTACTTGAATAGCTAGTAAACCAGTCCCCATATTTGAAAAAGAGCTCAAGAAACCATCACAAACAACTAGTTACAAATTGATTGAGCCATGTGTGTACCTTCTAGCAGTTCTACACTAACCACCAAGCAAGAATTTGGGTGAAAGATCATAACATTATTTGAATGACAAGCTTCTTTGAAGTAAGGAACTGTCAAAGGAGCCTGGTCATCTTTCACCCCTAATCCCTGCTTCAAGATTACATCATGAACATCTACACATTTACTCTAGTTGTATGGAATAACAGCAGTTACCATCTAAAATTTCAAACCATTCTGATTCAGGAAACTCTCCACCTACCTGCTATACATAAATGCCGACCCAGAGTAAGAGGAACAAGACTCCGAATCCCATGAACAGGGAGGCCACCAGCGAGACCAGAAGCTCCTTGTACAGGTCACGGGTGTACTTGTTCGACGTCACCTCGTAACTGACGACTAGTTAAGGATCATTTACAAACCTTAAGACTTAATTAACATCCTTGTACATCCATAGTGCTGCTAGTACAGAAGTAGTTCTAGTTGTTCACGTTTCTTGTTTTAAAAATAGGAATAACACAGATGCTGCATCAGTAAAATAAGTGTCCTCATCTCCTCCAAGGTACAAATTGGAGGTCAGAAGGATCTATTGGAGTTACCATCATATGCAGTGCTGTATATGGCATAACATTAAATTTAAATGGTCTTCTGCAGTACCTTTGAAAGCTGCTAGGGTGGCCATAATCTGATCAATTCAAGACCTACCCACATACCAATTATAAAGAAAATCCATCAAAATTCTAAGCTTTCTTGAGTTTTCGTGGCACACACACACACACACACACACACACACACACACACACAGGTATGCTAGTCTACTAAATACCTAACCTTCTTAGCAGAGGTAACATTGTAAAAAGAAGCCCTCTGAAACTTGTGAAAGGATACACAAAGAACCATGCCATGAAGAAGATGCCTATGCCCAGCAGGACCAGGGTGAGGTGTGGGTACACCGCCGGGTTCACCGGACTGATGTACCGCGCCATGGACTCAAGGGACGACGACTAAAGGGGAAAACACATTGTTTATAAAAACTGCAATATTATGTAACCCAACACCAGTTACCATGGTGAGAGACAGTCTGGTTCAGGTCCAGGTCTGAGGTCAGTGTTTGGAACAGAAGAAAGAACAGGGCAAAAATAATATGTTTTCCTTCAGGTAAACATAATTTCCAGCCATGTTTATGATGTTACACGTAACTTACAGTTAGATGACTCTTGCAAGATCTAGGTTTGTTTCTGATGGAAATTATAAACAAATTAACAAAAAGGCCTGCACATTCACGCAGAACAGTTACCAAACTTTGGATGTGCCCATTACAAGTATAAGTCTAGTGGTCTTTTCCTTGTCATTGGGCTTTAAATAAAATAGATCTGGTTCAAAAAAGGAGGAGGGGCAAAGAGTATACAAGCTGTTGTTACCGTTATAATTTTCACTACTAAATCTTAAATAACTTTCTGATCATTGCCAAAACACTCCTACATAGTACACTTGTGGTCAGTTTAAGCGTTATATCTTCAGGTAAGCAACAGAAATGAAGAAAACAACTTTTTTTGCAGCTTTCACAACACAACAAACAACGCACAGCTGATCTCTTGGTGACACGTCGACAGTTTTGGATATCCTGTAAGGTAACACCCCCAACTTTACAGCCAGAAAACATCACTAAAACAACCTTAAGAAGCATATATATCCATCCAAAACATCCCCCATATCCCTTAGAACATAATGCAAAGCATAAGATAGCACGATGGTTCATAAAAGTAACGATACAGCTCAGATTCTAAAGGTTTTTACAGTAAACATCTACCCACCATCTTGGATCAGCTGGAAAGGACCGATGCGGAAGTCGCTCCTGATTGGTCAATTTGTGCCGTAAGTCTGTCGTAAAATACACAACTGTCGTAAAATCCTCTGCCGTAAACTGGGTCGGTCCATAGTGGAGAAAATGGCGCCTGTTTTGGTTTTGGACAATGGAGCTTACACGGCAAAAGTCGGGTTTTCCACGGAAAAAGAGCCGAGGTGTGTCTTAAATTTACACGGATCTTAATGATACAGAATTAGTGTGTTATTGGGAACAGATTTCATGCCTCTGAGCCTCTGATTTATGTGAAAATTGTATGAATGAATCATAATCAAATCATGGACCATGCCAGAAAAGTTTATGCATGGAGGTAGAATCTTTTTTCTACGCCTGTGGCTATTGACAGGATCGTCCTGTCAATAGCAGAAAATATTGCACTGCTGACAGGATCGTCCTGTCAATAGCAGAAAATATTGCACTGCTGACAGGATCGTCCTGTCAATAGCAGAAAATACTGCACTGCTGACAGGATCGTCCTGTCAATAGCAGAAAATATTGCACTGCTGACAGGATCGTCCTGTCAATAGTAGAATAATTTGCACTGCTGACAGGATTTTTTCCTGTCAGCAGTGCAAATTATTCTACTATTGACAGGATCGATAAAATTTTGGTATTTTTATTCATACTGGTAAAGTTTTGGGGTGGGCGCTGGTTCGTGTAGGTCTTATGTAGGTGTTATTATGTATGCTATTAGGCCATTTTTTACGATCCTGCGCTGCGGCCCCTGCAGATCGTCGTGCATACATTGATCCCCCGCTCGGTAGCGCGCGCCTGGCCTCCCGTAAGCAATGCGGCGGCAGTGCGTGCCTGTCGCCCCGACTAGCCTCTACCAGGCACCGCGGATCGCTGGAAAATAGTAGAAATTGGCCGATATATACCAAGGGTATATATACCAAGGTCGCCAATTGGAGCTTCTCTGGCCGGCTAACTCCCTTGGTATATATTCCCTTTATTTCGGCCAATTTCTATTATTTTTCCAGCGATCCACGGTGCCTGGTAGAGGCTAGTCGCCTCGGGGCGACAGTAAGCGCTACCCATTACAGCCCAGGCCTGTTACAGCCGGCGCCGCGGGAATGACACAGCGGTCCACCGGCGGGTACCCGTCGGGCTAGCCTGGGTGCCACCAGGCCTGGGTGCCACCCCGCGCGCGAGTGTCTATCTCCTAAGTAAAAGTCATGGGAAGCCATGATTATAACTCCCGGCAGACCTACTTGGCACACTGGGTCTAATTATCTCCTCGCGCATGAGGCGTTAGAGGGCTTCGCGTGGACGAAGGGGTTTGGGTGGATAATGGTAGCGGACAAATACGGTTTCTCCCGAAATCTATCGCCAAATAAACGCCGGACTCTGGGGCACCCAGGGTTAACCGCCAGGCGTGCTAACAGCAACACAACAACCCGCCCCCCAGTAACACCAGCGTGCCAGGCCCTGCAGCGTGCCGCAAGTTGCCGGTACTGTGGCAGAGTGGGGCCCAGTGGGGCCGGTAAAATTCGGTGGCCAGCTGGATACGCGCGCCAGGGGGCTGTTGTTGTTAGCGGGCCGGCTAGCTGAAATGCCACACCAGCGGTATTTTCCTGGATTTGTTCCATTTGATTTCAAAGTTGTTGAAAGAATAAATAATGGATAGAGATCAACTTCTTTTTCAAATTGTCTTTTTTATTGTCTTCATCTTGTGTAACTGCCTTCGTATTTCAGACAGCTTATGCATGAAATTCGCTTAAGTATTTATATTTTGAACATGTCTAGTTTTGACATATATCTGCTGGAGTACTCTGTATTGATAACTCAGTTAACGTGATGATAGCCGCCATCGTGAAACGCCTAATCTGCAGTACAGTAGCATATGCCTTCTGACTGGTTAAAAAAATGAAAACAAAGAAGAAATAATGTCAATAGAGCCCAAAATGGAAGATTTAAAAAATCCTGTCAATAGTGCCAAAAATGGCACTGCTGACAGGACGATCCTGTCAACAGTGTCAAAAATGGCACTGCTGACAGGACGATCCTGTCAGCAATGCAGTATTTTCTGTTATTGACAGGATCGTCCTGTCAGCAGTGCAATATTTTCTGCTATTGACAGGATCGTCCTGTCAGCAGTGCAGTATTTTCTGCTATTGACAGGACGATCCTGTCAGCAGTGCAGTATTTCCTGCTGTTGACAGGACGATCCTGTCAATAGCCTCAGGCTTTTTCTACCTCCATGGTTTATGTTTATAATTGAAGGAAAAGATAATTTGTTTTTGCTACGTTTCCTCTTCTTCTTCTTCTCCAAACAGTGACCTCTGACTCAACCAGACTGTCTCTCACCATGGTAACTGGTGTTGGGTTACATAATGCTGCAAATTATTCTATTGTAGGAGGGATTTAGACTCCTGTCCCCATATATGTGATTACTATATCAAAGGTAAACATTATGCATTTGCTTTGCAAATGTTACCTTTCTAGTCATTCACCTAACATGTTGCGATATTCCAATAATTTCAGGTTGATCCCTAACTGTGTTATGAAGTCAAAGAGCGAGAGAAGGAAAAATTTTGTCGGGAACCAGATTGAAGAGTGTAAAGACTTGTCTGGGCTCTTCTACGTGTTGCCATTCCAGAAGGTAAGGAACATACTAGTAGATGCCTCTGATCCCGTCAATAGTGAATACACTATAATTTGACAGGATCATCCTATCAATAGAGGCCAAAGGCTATTGACAGGACCATCCTGTCAGTAACAGAAAAAATGCACTATTGACAGGATCAGATTTTCCTGTAATTTGACAAGATACAATCCATAATCCATCATTTTGTTTAGTTTTGTGACAAGAAGTATTGTACTGGACTTGTTGTTTTATTTAATGTGTTTTTTTTTTAATCTATAATTTTTTGTGCAGGGATACCTGGTGAACTGGGATGTACAGAGACAAGTCTGGGATCACATCTTCAGTAAAGATGTCCTAAATGTGAGTTATGATCAGGGTCTCCTACGTAGTTTCTCTAAAATTGCCTTTTTTTCTTTTGTGAGTTTTATTTTAACTTTCACAAGCAAGCACTTCTTTTCCATTCTATTGTTGAAAAGTACCATTTGTTTAACAAAAGCCATTGTTTCAGTGACCGTCTGTCATCTTCTTCAGGGCAATTATGACTGGTTCACTGTGCACTGAAGCAAGGTGTTACTACAAAGTGAACCAGTCAAAATGGCCCTTATGAAGATGACAGACGGTCAACGAAACATTGGCCCTGGCTGTGAATAAAGAGATTTGCTTCTGAATCCTTCACCAACAGCATTCCACTGTTTGCTTGTTGTCACAAGTCAACCAATATAACCCAGCTAGATTGACAAATGTATGAGCAACTGTTCAGAAACCACATCTTCCACCTTTCCTACAGGTGAACTTTGCTGACACTGTTGCCATGGTAACGGAACCCTTCTTCAACTTCACCTCCATCCAAGAGTCCATGAACGAGATCTTTTTTGAGGAGTATCAGTTTAAGGCACTACAGAGGGCAAATGGTGAGTACCCAGTGTTGAGTTGAACAATATAGGAAGCAGTGTCAAAATCCTGCAAAAATGTGGCATGAAATGAGCAAGTGACTAGGCTAGTAGGCGCTAGACGGAAAGGTAGCTTGTTCCATTTCTGGCATTCCTGGATAGACATTGTTTTCTTGAGAAAGGCACTTTACACAACTTTCCTCACTCCACCCAGGTGTAAAATGGATACCTGACTTCAGTTGGGGAGGTAAAAGGCAGTAGAAGGAAAGGGATGGGCTCTGCCTTCCAATACCAACATACTTACATGCCCTAGACACAGTGGATTAAAAACCCACCACCCCTACAGCCTCAAGAAAGCTATGGGACTACCTTTACCTGTACCATGCCACAACCATGTAATTTTTAATGATATGATGATCATGTGATGATCACATGTCACCCTTTCCTCCAGCTTCAACTTGGAGTGCCCACAAGTACAGCAGTGGTCAGCAGAAGAAGCCCCTTTGTTGTGTAGTGGTGGACACAGGGTATTCTTTCACACACATCACACCATACTGTAGAGGCAAGAAGATGAAGGATGGCATAAGAAGGTTTGTTCTTCATATGAACGTTCAACCATATGCATCTTTTGGGTCACCATATCCTTAATAAATGAATTATGTGTTATTCTTATATAGACTACTCAACATCCAGAACAGAGTGGTGAAATGTTTTCTAAGGTCTGATTGCCACTACAGGCAACTTTTATTATCAATTGCTGTGTTTAGTCTATTTGTACGTTAGTGTTGCTATGGGTTGGTGTACTTGAAATAAAGATTCATGGAAGGCACACATGTCTTTCCCTGCCAACATATGTTTTTAATTGTTAAAAACAATAAACAGAATGTTAATGGGTTGACAGAGCGCATCTCAGAAGCTCCACAGAGTACTTTTTGTCGTGTGCATTGTTTAGAAATATGCGTCAAAAACAAATTGTTTCTTTCTTTGCAGATTGAATGTTGGAGGTAAATTGCTGACCAATCATCTGAAAGAGATCATCTCGTACCGACAGCTTCACGTCTTGGACGAGACGTATGTCATGAACCAAGTCAAGGAGGACGTATGCTACGTCTCCTCACAGTTCTACAGGGACATGGAGACAGCCAAGTAAGCCATGTGATCATCACATGATCACCACATGATCATCACATGACGAGTGCATGATTGTCGCATGGCATGAACATGAAACAGGGCCTTTGATATATTGAGATACTCCAGAAAAGTATGGTTTTGCAAACCTTTTGATGTGAAAATGTCTACTTCAAAGTGGCTTGTGAGACTTTGATAAGTTTATTTGTTACAGTATGAAGTTTATAAACTGTGTTCTTGTCTTGTAGACTTAGAGGAAAAGAGAACACAGTGCTGAGAGACTATGTCTTGCCAGACTTTTCACAGATCAAGAGAGGTTATGTGAAGGTGGGTACATGGAATAATCTACCACAACTTCCCACATTTGCTTTCATGACTTGTGCTTTTTCTTCCTTGAAGTTTTGTACTAATGTCTCTGGTGTTTGTTTTAATCCATTGGTGCTGTTCCATCTAGCTGTTTCACTCCCTACTATTTTGTACTCCGCAGCCCTTAGAAGAGATGAATTATGCCGGAAAATACAAGGGAGGGGAACAGATTATCAGAATGGCCAACGAGAGGTTTGCTGTTCCAGAAGTTCTCTTCCACCCCTCTGATATCGGCATCCAAGAAATGGGTATCCCAGAAGCCATTGTGCACGCTGTGGAAGCCTGTCCGGAAGGTGGGAGCAACGCTTGTTCTGATTGGTTGACATGGCAGAAATTTTGTTTACTCAGAAACTGTGTAGCCAATAGTAGATTTGTTTAGATTCTATGATACCTATAATTTTGCCTGAATCATTTTTTGCAATAAGTTTTAGTCCTCTCCAAGACTGACCAAAAAGTACATGTAAACTAATTTTAATGGTATATGTATCAACATTTCTTACCACTTTTCTCTTTTCTTCAGAAATGCACCCCCACATGTACATGAACATCATTCTGACTGGAGGGAATGCACTATTGTCTGGGTTCAAGGAGAGAGTGTAAGTTTCACTGTATAAACATATAAATCCTTTATAGTATAGTACAGCTATAATAATATTTCAATAAGCAAGTTTAAAGGAAACAAGTAGCTTTGTATACTAGTACATCTAAAGCGTTGTACCAAGGGATGTACATGTAGTTTTGTTTTCTGAGGCCAGGACACAATGAACTTGTCTGTGAATCAAACCCATGACCTCTTGATCCCATGTCCATTAACCAACTACTAGTACATGTAATCAAAGTTTCATGTACCAGACCATCAACATCACTAGGTACTGTGAAAGAAACAAGGAATTGATAATGCTTTACTTAAACTGCACAAAAAGAGGGGTTTGCATTTTATTATGACTTAATGTTTCACAGATTCTCGGACTTGAGAGCTCTGGTGCCACAGCAGCTGGAGGTCAGAGTTCACCAGCCCGACCGTCCAATCACGTACGCCTGGGAGGCAGGCGTTGCCCTTAGCAACACAGCTGGCTTCGACAAGATGCTGGTTACCAGGCAACAGTACGACGAGTATGGTCAGAACATCTGTTCTGATAAATTTGATGTGTGAAGGAAAGCGTTTCTGTTGCTAAGGAGAAACCGAACTGACAAAGACTTGTCTTTCTGTGAACTCAAAAACAGATGGCAAAGGGAACTCAGTAAAATGTACAGCCATCATATAACACAGGTCTTTTAGTTATACATGTAGGAATTGGCTACTTGATTGTACAAATGTATTAGTTGTATGGCCTATTGAACATTTTTGTAGCTTGATGTTGTTAACTGTAAAGATATGCCTTTTTTAAATTTGGACCAAGTAGTAGCCAATGCATTTTTTCTACCAAACCTTTTTGTCGTTTTGTTTTGAACTGCACTTTGCAAACTATACTGGGCAATACATGGCATATACATGATATAGTTCTTTTTACTGTTTACAAAACAATAATTCAAAGAAAAGTATAGATGAATGACAACATTATTTTGTGCCTTTCACCTTTATTCCACCCTACCACCAACTGTTTAGTTGATATTATCATACTTTGTAACCTCAACCTTACATGAGTATCATGTATTATCTTATAGACTATATGCACATGTGGTATCTTTTCAGCTTCTAACATACATAATGAACACCCATGGAACCTATGACTATAGATAACGTACTCCTTTTTATATAGTATTTTTGTTGTTCTTATACAATGTGTATGACGTGACATAAACATTATCCCTCAACCTTACTTTTGTGCCTCATACAAATAATCTTAAGTAAAACAATCAGCACCATCTTGAACACAAAACATGGAAAATGTTTTCACACAAAACTTCTAACAAGTTTTTTTCTTTAGCTTTGCACCCCAAATACAGGCGATGTCTTTCTTAGATCAGCGTACACCAACGTGTAAAATGTCCAAGCAGTACCAAAATATCCTTTACGTAAACTCAGAAGGTTTTCTGTCAAAGCAAAATACAATACTTGACTTTTTCACTATCTGCAACAAAGTTATGATGGATTTTTAATCCATCGAGTCAGTCAATGGAAAATACAAACTCAGGAACAAAATTCTGGTCCACTTCAAAAACAGTTACAAGTATCAATACATTACTAGTGAAATAAGCTAATCAATGGTAAAGGTTATCAAAAAGTCAAAAAGAACATCTTAAGAAACTTGTGTAAAAGAATGTATGTTTGCTATAAAAATATGCCTTTTTTAAGCCTCTTGGCAACACCAATTCAATGTTACAAACCAGCTGATTTTGTAACAGTTTCCAAACTTAAGTCTCTGTCCAATCATCTTTAAGTATCAGGACTATCCTTAACCCTCTTCTTGCTGCCTTCCCCTGAAACCAGCTGAAATTTGATGCCAAAAGTCCACCCCAGCAGAAAGAAGGTTAAAACTGTAAGTTGCTGTGTAAAATGCCTATCCTTGACGAAGGCATCCCGTTTTAGTGTGCATTTCAGCGTTTGCTTCTGTATCAGTCTTGAATTTCTCATCTTTAGTCAAAATAGTATCGAAAATACATTCTCCTTCTATACTTTCCACAATCATCGCAAAATATCCCTCCAAGGCCGCGGCCCTACTTGTACGTATCACCCAAGTGTGGGGACTTCAACGGCTTTCTGGAAACTCTGAGGTAGCTACATGTAGTCTGATACAAACACGCACAGAACTACACTGTTGTTACACACAATTGCTACCATACTCTTATTAAAATATAACCAGACAACAGTTCCATCCAAGGGGGTTGCTAAGTTTTCGAAAAGACAAGCATATTTCTAAACATTTGTTACTGTTGATACAATACTCTTCCAGGCTTTTCTTTTATGGTGTACCTGTTCTTTTATGGTGTACCAGCAAAACTGGCATCATCATCCATAAATACTTGGTTTAAATAAGACATAGATCGTCAACATGACACTATATTATATGTGGTATATCTTCCTAATCGAAAAAGCACCCATGCTTTCCCTTGAAGTCTAGTAAACGTACTCTACAACAGTTTGAGTACTTCTGATAAAAGCAGAGAATGATGTCTTTAAAATGCACTTTAAAAGTAGAAGACTTAGTACCAGTATGCTAAGAATACTGCTTTCCCTGTATTCTATGCAAGATACATTGTATCTTACATGACATGCCTGCATGCATTTAGCTTTCTGGACCTTGTATATATGTATGGTATGTACATCTTTCTAAAAGTATACTATGGTATCACCACATCTAGAAGTAAACTGGAGTACCTACGAATCTAGAAGTAGACTGGTACCACAACACCTAGAAGTGGATTGTGATACCACATCATCTAGAAATAGACATAATAACCACATGCAGACTATGGTACACCACATCATTGCCACTAGCTGAAGTTCTATTGGTCAGCCAGATCATGTGAATATCACATGACTGTCACATGATACTCTCATGCACAGACAGACAGACAGCCACTATTCTGACGGCCCATTGGCTGCTGGAAGAAGCCCATTGATGATGTCAGAGTAGTATGGACCAAACACGGCGTTGTTATGCCGGACTATACGTAGTACTCTCGCTGTCACTTCGAAAAGCTCTATCTTCATCCCAGTCAGTCCTCCAGGGACCTTGGCCTGACTGGCCGGATTTGGTGCTGTGATGACGGACTGGATAAACCCATAGACACGGGATGCTGTACGGGGGGAAAAAATTAACTTTAATTGTGGCATGTTGAGGTGAATGTCACTGGAAAATGTTATTCCTAAAACAAACATGAGCTTGTCATTCTTGAACAAGTTAAATGTGAACTGATTGACTAGGATTTGACAAGTTATGTGATTGTCACATGCACATCATGCGACAGTCATATGCACATCATGTGACCATAACATGCACATCATGTGACCGTAACATGCACATCATGTGACCGTAACATGCACATCATGTGACCGTAACATGCACATCATGTGACCGTAACATGCACATCATGTGACCCTAACATGCACATCATGTGACCATCACATGCACATCATGTGACAGTCACATGCATGTCATGTGACCATCACATGACCGGCATACTTACTGATCAGGTTGTGGATGTAGTTGTCAGGGTTGGCCGCCGTCTGCACCTGGGCCTTCAGGATGTCTCGTCTCTTCTCATCCAGTCGAGGGAAGCCTCGCGTCTCAAGACACTCGTCCACCTCCTTACACACCTGCTCTGAGATGTTCTTAAGGGCCTCCTCAAGATTAAAGGAACTGTAACAAACAAAAGTAACCATCCATCATTTAAGAAACTAATGCCTGATCTTTGTGGCTGGTAGGACATGACAAATTCTTGTAACTTCTTTCTCTATATGCTTTTCATGTGACACTGTACATGGCCATAACACCAGATCGGGGGTACTACCATTAGCTTTTTAGATGGAAGCCAGGATTCTTTTCAGCTTTTCAGTCTCCAAGCACTGCTGAAATTATTCTTTCCTTTGCAATAAAAATCTTAGAATTTGAAGCTGACCTTTCTTGCATGTCCCCCAGCAAAACTCCCAGGGTGCCTTTCAGCTTCTCGCTGAACCCCTGCAGTCCAGCCAGGGCGGCCCCGACGACGTTGTGTGTGATGAGGAGGATGGAGGCGATGAGGGTGATCTGTCGACACTTCACTCCGATTTCCGCCAGCCGTCCCTGGTCCATCAGAACAGTCTGTTGGGTGGAGAGATAATTAATTATCATGTGATCAATGCATGATCAACATGTGACTATCACATGTTAATCTTGAGCTACCACAGAAGGTCTTACAATTATTAAATGTCTCTGCCCTTCTCAATTTTCTGTTCTTTTTCTGGCAACTGAGGCTATCTCAAGACTCGTATTCAGAAAAATACCAGTACAATTTGTTCCTTAGACTTGAAATAAATAAAGAATTGGTAGCCAAATAGTTTTCAGTGTGCTTAATTAATAAAGGTTAAAACAATAATGTTACACCCCCTAACCTCTGGGAATGGTTTGTTCTCTTCCCACTTCAGCAGCATGATGTAGGCATGTCCCAACACATCCATGGAGGTGAACGGCCTGTCTGCTGCTGCTGCCGCCCCTTCAGGTGACCCTGACGGGAGTTGTGACGATTTCACCTCCTCAGAGGCCTGGTACAGCCACGTCTTGGTGACTTCGAGGGCATCTAAAGAGAAACAGAAGAAGAGGATACACAAGATTAGTCACATTTGGAACAGCATCCAAATCAATTTCCGGGCAGCAAAACAAAACAAAAATATGTTGGATGAGGAAATCTGTCTGATATTGACATTTACTGCCATTTCTTAGTACATTTTTATCATTATTTCATACTTCGAAGCATTTGAAACAGCCCTGAAACATAAGGAGTCTCTTTATATTTTGGGTACTGGAAAATGGTGGATAAAGCTTAACTAAACGGCAGACTTGACGTACTTGGCTGTTTGTCGATGAATTCCTGGAACTTCTTGCGCTCGTACTCGACGCTGTGCTGCTGGATGGTCGGCCGCATGGACTGGATGGTGAAGTTCGCCATGTCCATTTTCATCAGCTCCAGAACACGGAAAATCTCCCTAGAACATTAGAACAGTTGACACGGTCATCATATGGCAACATCATGGATGGTCTGATCCTCTGTTAGATATTACGGCAGCCCAGGCTGCTCACGCGTTTCATTCACAGAGTATGAATAAACAGCTTTACGTGCAGCTGAAAACAACAGAATTGATCTTTTAAGTAATCAATGAAATGTTTCTTACTTAAACATGTCTACCACGTTGTCCACTTCGCGTAGGGTTTCAATGTCCTGGTCACGAACTGGGGCACACAGACGACCCATGGTGTCAATCACGAACCGGGCACAGCGCTTCACGTCAAACACCCCGTGTTCCGCCTCTTGCGTGATCAGGTCAAGGTCGAGGACTTCGTTGATTTGGGCGCGCAGTCGGGAATGTTGGGGCAGCAGGATGGACACCAGCATCTGTAGGTCATGTGAACAGGGCATGATCAGCATGTGATCATCACATGAACACCACATGGCAACAGCATGGATGGTCTGATCATGTGATCATCACATGTCTATCACATGAGCAGAACCATAGAAAAGCGAATTATGGATGGCTTACATGCAGTGATCATGTGATCATCACATGATCATCACATGATAACTCCATGTAAGCTATGAAAACTGTAACAGAGTGTGAAATAAAAAAAAGAGCATTGTTGAACTAAAGTCATTATTGGCGATCTTTGATAAACTTCTTCCTGTTGATATAGCAGTGTTAGAAATTTTAGAAAGAAGGAACTGACCTCTTTCACCTCTCCCAGTAGGTTAATGGCGTGTTGGAAAGTCGGCAGCTCTTCTGCTAGCTCCTCCCGCAAGGCATCCCAGAATGCCCTGTGCACGGTGTCCTTCACTTGCTTCTCAAGGCTAAAGGAAAAAAAAAAGGCTGATTAGAAAATATTTTGGAAACACAAATCATTGGAAAGAAACTTATATAGACAAACACTGCTTTTCCATTCCATTAGTCCTGTCATAACCGCATAATAAGCATTGGAGTAAGAACTTTTTGCCGTTCAGCACCAAGGACATACCCACAAGTATTTTAAAGACCTACATTTAAAGATAATAGCTCAAGGATTTTGGATGTAAAATTAAATAAAACAGCATCTTACCTGTTCTCAGGGGGCATGTACTTCTGTAGCTGAAAGTCATTGTCCACAGCGATCTCGTGAGCCAGTGCCATGTTGGTCACACCGTTGGACACAGTCATCAGCTCCTCTAGTGAGATCCACTGGGGAGGGGAGGCTGGGGGGACATGTGATTGTCATGTGATTATCACATGGTCGACATGTGATCATCACATGATCAAAGGATGCATTGAAAACAAGAAATCAAAGCTTCCAGACTTCCTAGAAGCAAGGATTTCTATGACATTGAATGTCACAGACTTCTAGGAAGTGTTTTGGGTTTTTCATATCTGTATTGTAACTTTTGATTGGACTGTATGATATAAGGAACTACCCACTTACCTATTAACTGTAAAAAATCACCTCTCACCCACTATGCAACCAAACCTATTATAAGACAAAAAGAGACACAAACCCACAACTCAGCCACCCAAAATAATACTTCCATACCCAGAAGTTTCTAAAGGGTGGAAATAAATGAAGTTATTCCGACTTACGAGAAGGGATAGTCATGGGCATCTTGAAGGGGCTTCCCGGGGGCGTTTTGAAGGGGCTGCTGACAGGAGTTCCCACACGCCGCCGCTTCCCGAACAGTTCCCCCTCGGAGGACGACGCCAGCTCATCACTTTCACTGGACTCGGGGGACTCACGGCCTGAAAAGTATGACGAAGAAACTATTATGCATATGTAGCCTAAATATCTTATCAAATAGACAATTTCACAAGAGGATACTTAGTACTGTACATTGTAAACAAATACCCTAGTCTGTAATGCCACTCATTCATTTACTTTAACTTTTTGCAGTTTCATTCACTTTTACTTTGTTGTAGGACTGAGTAAAGGAGACTTTTGCTGTGTTTTAAATCCTGGACTAGTACAATAGTTACAAATGTAAGTCTATTGGCAGCTCACATTCGCAATGTCATGAATTTGCAATCATGGAGTTTTGTATATATCGACCAACCTGAAAATTCTGAAAATAATTTAGCACCATGAAAGTTTCAAATTTTACTGTAACAGTATATTGTACAGCACACAAGAGAAATGCCTCTGCATGATACGCATATATCTATTCCTATAAGTTAAGACTTGGAAAAAAACATGCAATAAGTTGAACTCTGACCATCTTCATTGGTTGGCATGTCCATGTCCTTGGATGAGTTCTTGCTCTCATCCGATTGGTTGTTGTTGGGCATCATGGAAAATCTGTTGTCTTGTGATTGGTCAACTTGATGAATGCTATAACTTCTGTTGATAGTATCAAAGCACTTCTGAAAAGATAAAGAGATTACAAATACAATTATTTATGCTATTTTGCTGTACGAACTGCAAAGTATTAGACCATAAATCTTAACTATGTCTATGAGGAAAAAGATTTAGAGCAATCTGTAGCAACTTTAACAGCTTTGCATTTTTCAGTAGCATTCTGTGCTAGCAGCCTAGCAGACTAGAATTTTTATGTGCAACAAACACTGGGCTGAAAACTTTAATCTCAAAACAATATCTTTCCCAATTGGCCAATGGACCTACTCTTGGCCAGCAGTTACAATTTTTACTCTCCAAGCAGAGGTTGATGGAGAAGATTGTTAGCTTTTTATATATGGCCTTTTTTTTGTTGTTGCTACCCCCACGAAGAGAAAAAGAGGGTCATACATGAATATAAAAAGCTAACGATCTTCTCCCATCAATCTCTGCTTAGAGAGTAATGATTTTGCCATGGGAAGATCTGCTAGGATATTGGCTGAAAGCTAGGTCAGGCAGCCTTGAGTAGTATTGATTTTTGTTAAAGCTAGTGCAGAGGTAACAACCCAGCAAGCGATGACCTGAAGATAAGTAACAAAAGGGCCACAGTAAGGGTCAGGTTAACACTCCACTGTTGCCATGGTGAGAGCTAAATTTAGACCACTTCTGCTGTTGTTGCTACATGTTCAGTTCAGTTTAGGGTACTGTGTGGAACAATTATATTAAGAGTCTTAAGAGGGAGACAAAAAAATGGCATGCATATGGTAAACAAAGGTGGAGTCAATAAGAATAAAAATCTTGCAGAAGTTTCAATTTTTCTTTTTCAGGCAATTGACTGAGTGATTAAATGATACATGCAGGTTTGGAAAATATAATAAATTTCTTGAAATCAAATCTATTTTGGTGCCACCGTCAATATGATAGCCGGGTATAAAAGATTTGCCTTGCTCACTTAAAATGGATGACTGTTTTGCTTTTTTCTAATCTCCTCTCTAATTGTGATAAACCTGCACCTTAAACAATTTCTGATCAGCAAATTCAGCCTTCCTCATGAACAAATACAGACTGGGAAATCACTTTAATGTGGTATAAATAAGATTTACAACAATTGAGTGGAGTAGATGTGACAACGAGGACTCCAAAATCAAATCTTCCCACCACCATAAACTGTATCAGAGTGCACAGCACGTAACGACATTGAGTGATTGAGTATTGGCCTTGGCCTCAAATAAGGACAAACCTAACAAACCAGCAGAGGCTGCTGCAGAGCAGTTCCAATTTCAGTGACACCCATACATCATTATATATAACATCTGGTCCTTTATCTTTTATAACCAACTTGTGGCTACGGATACAGCACTGTGATCCAAAATGGTAATTAAAAATTTCTTCAAAAAATAAGAATTCATTTTTCTTTGACGTATACTGATGTGATGATTCTTTTTAAGACAGGGCTCAAAAAAAAGGGTTCCACTCGACAATGTTTATCAACACAGCTGGCCGGGTCGTACCATGTGTGGGGAATACAGAGGAGACAGGCTCCATTACCTCATTGATTTTTCCCTGCTGGAGTCAAGGTAACGTAATAGTATAGAGTGCGCAGACGTGATCAAAACAATGTGACGCAGCACCTATGTTACCGGTAGTACAAAAATTATATTCTTAATCTCTTAGCCCTGGCTTTATACAGCTTCTAATACATGTAGATATGTCAACTTCAAAATCAGCTTAATTTGTAAATTGAAAGGTAGAACATCCTACCTAGGTACCTGACAAACCAGCTTTTATCTTTTGAGCTATTGTAATACAATGTTGAAATAAATTTATGACAATTTTGGAGAAAAACTCATTCAACCAAGGAGGTTAGAAATCAAGTATTAAACCTCAGCAAGAATTCTATCATGATTTTTATCATGCTAAAATGTCATTTATGGAACAGTGTACCTTTACTTTTCTGTAGTAGAATCTATAACATCCGAAAAGCAAATATTGAACAGTCGGAATCACCTTCTATTACTGAAAAGGTGAGTCACTCACAGTGTTTTCACAGGTGACTCACTGAATAAGGGTTACCCTATCACCTATACTATAGATTACATGGTGTAGGGTTTCTTCATAATTGTGAAAACAAAAGAAGGTTTTGCTAATAACATGGCATCTCTAATTGATTAATTTGTGTACACAATAATCAATCAATCAGTTAGTTCCGCCTTCTTTTCCATAAACGAAGATCTGACACAGAACAGCTGGGTAAGAAAAATGCTCAAAGGGGAAATTAAAATAAAATAAAAAAAATAAAAAAAAAACAGGAAGAAATTTAAACACTACAGTTACGAAAGAGAAGAATATACAGATTAATTGCAATTTCTCAGACTGACAATCCGTAAAAAACATATACCAAGTCCTGATATACATATATTTTTTGCAGTCGAGTAGTCTAGTCATGCTAATTATATTTTGTAGCAGTTGTCAGATGCAACAACCTCAAAAAAAATCCGTCGCTCTGCATTTCTCGTAGATATATCCGCCTTGGCAACTGAATGGAAGGGTTCCCTGTCCAAAATAGAAAGACATGCTCCCAGAAAGGCGATGCCAGCTGTTATTTTGGGACCGATCAAAACATTTCTGGGTCGAGGAATTTCCCATCGAAGCGGGCACGCTAACTAATCAGCTGTTTTCCTTCGGGGCAATTTTACAAAAACATCCCCAAAAAACACGCAAAACTAGAGAAAAATTCGCTCACCTCTGCATCAGACGATTGTTGGGGCACAAATGCCACTGAGCGGTTGGAACGTGGGAGGGAAAAACACACCTCGAAGGAGCCAGAATGATCCAGAACCAAAACAAAAGTCCGACCTTCGCCCTCCTCTAGAGTTGCAGCGTCTTTTGTGGGGACGCTACTTTGTTTACGGAAGTGACGCAACTACTCCTGAGGGGAAAACTGTCGCAAAATCGTAGCCGAAAGTCGGAAATATTGTCGTAAAATCTCAGCCACCTATGGTCAGTTGAGGACATTGAAGGACATTGATAATATTGATCCTGTCAATAGTGGGAAATTTTGCATTATTGACAGAACGATCCTGTCAATAGTGGGCATATTTCTGTTATTGACAGGACCATCCTGTCAATAGCTATTTCTCAAAATCATCGTAAAATCTTACCGCAAGTCGTTTTTAAGTCGTAAAATCTCTTCATTTCCTGTACTTCATTTACGGCAAAAATTAGCCAATGGGCACGCGCTGTACGTAATATCAGGTCAATGACCTCAAAACAGACCAGCTAAAATCACTTGAAAACGCATTAAAAACGCTAAAAATTGCACCATATCACTGCTTATTTGTATAATCTGGTCAAAATTTGTCTAAATTGTTCATATTTATCGTCAGAGTGGTTGAAAACTTTCAGCATTCATTCACTTCCTGTATTTTTGGTGACGTAGCATAGTTCCAAGATGGCGGACCCTACTAAGCAAGATATTGCCGCAATCTTCAAGAAACTTCGATCTATCCCGACAAATAAGGTACAGTTTGTTTGTTCACACCGTCCGGAAGTTTTAGGAAGACTTGTAGATACAAACAAACCGCTTTTTATCGATTTACTGTGATTAACATGGCGGATATGTATCATTTTTTTCGCGGAAACCTGGTCGAAAAAAAAAGCCGGTATGGTCCAGTTTTGACAGGCAAAAATACGTGACGTAGTTTAGATAAATCCTTTTCCTGGTTCAATACTTTTGTCATAGATTTTCCCAGGATTTCCTCAAATGTAGATTACGTCAAATTAGTCTTTACAATCGAGATATCTATCGATGAAGACCCACAAGTTATGCACTTTATCATGCAAATGAGGGTTGAATTTGAGTTGCGAAATTTCGCACCTTATCAAAATATGCAATTGGTGCTACCCATCCATTCATATATTATACTGTATATACACGAATATGTGTAGGACTTTTTCTTTCTTGATCCCATAGGATTGATTTCATCTGAAAAGTTACAATTTGATCAGATCATAGTGTCAAAGTGCTTAGTTTTGGTGTTAAAATACTTGTCGTAAAAGTGTTGATTTGCAAACATATGTTTATGTAAAGTTCGAAGTCCATTTTAGCAAAACGATAAAAAAATTATCAAGATCACAAGGTTGTGGTTGTTTTTGCCCTTGAAAAACAAATTCAAAATAATTTCATGCAAGTTTAAGTCCAAGTCCAATGAATGAATAGCCTTTGTTCCAACACACAATTCATGAATAACACAATTTAAAATGACACCATACAATGGAATTGATTGACAAATAACAGTTTATGCTAGTACATTGTAGTACATGTATGATGAATTAACTGTATTTTTTCTACCCAGATATGTTTTGATTGTCAAGCCAATAATCCAACATGGAGTTCTGTGACCTATGGGGTCTTCCTCTGCATCGACTGTTCGGCAACTCACCGGTCGCTGGGTGTGCATCTGTCTTTTGTCAGGTCAGAAAGATGAAACTTATTTAATCCAATACTTGTTTGCCTGTTTTGCATAACCATTAAACTGCATTTAGGTGTAACACACCAGTTTTGTACACTGGGAAGGACACCCACTCTTTCTTTCAAGTGTGGTGGCATTGTTAACATGCACTCCTCAACTGGCTCAAGCATGGGAATTTGTCATTGTTGTGTACTAGTAATTGAGTTAGACCATAAAGTGCTGGACTATTTATCCAATTTGGATGTACCAAGGATGTTCCTTTGTAGTACAAAGGTACACAAGTGTAAAATGAAAACTGGCCTTTTTAGGTGTTGTCCATATGGGACTCAATGGGGCTTTTTGTTTCTTGACAACTTGGGCGAAATTTTGGATGTAGAAACATACAGGTACTTGATAGTGTAACTGTAATGGTGTGGTGTGGTGTGGTATGATAGAATAATGAACAACCTAATCTTTGAAGTTTCTGTAAAGGTCAAATAGTTTAACTTTAACACTTCATTAGTCAGACCACACCCAGCTATAACATTAGTGATTCATACGGCACTTGTTTGTACCTATCATCAAAGGTCCACCCACCTGTCCCAGCCTAAATTTTAGTGGTCAGTGGCAATTGGACGACCTTTAATATTGAGCCCTATGTAGGGTCATTATTTTTTTTTGTGGTAGAAGGGGAAAAGTGTTCTCTAATTTCGAAGTTGATCCTACGGTGGCAAGGCAGTATCCAGTGGCCAGTGATTCATACAGCACTTGTTTGTACCTTTTGTCACAGGTCCACCCAGCTGGACACTAACTGGACATGGCACCAGCTGCGCTGTATGCAGGCAGGTGGAAATGCCCATGCTGTAAGTACACAAACACTACTTCTCCTGTTATCTTAAGATTCTTATGAAGATTCAAAATACTAAGATAGTCTCACAGCCTTTTTTAAGGTCGTAGGGGCAGTGGGTTGTTAATCTACATGTCTAGGGCACAGTATTGGAAGGTGGAGACTTTTAGTACATGACCAGGTAGACAGGTAGACATCAGAAACACTTCCACAGCTTCAATTTTTCCTGCTCTAACCTGGATGTACAGGTGGTATTTCCAGCCCTGTATGAGTAAATCACAACTCATTCTTACCTCATCCAACTTCATTTTTACATTAGCAAGTTTTTCCTGTAAGTTGTTGAGGTACTAGCAGCCAGATTTCTTTTCTTTTTACACCTGTATATATGAGAGTATACAAATAAAGTTTCAAAGTATAGCACAAATTAATTATTCTTTCTAATTCCTTCCGACTTTGTTTTTCAGGAGCAGTTTTTCCGCCAGCATGGCTGCACGACGAACGACGCCAAGATGAAGTACAACAGCCGAGCCGCGACCTTGTACAAGGACAAGTTACACGGCCTGGCTTCTGCCGCCATGAGGAAATATGGAACACAGGTGGGATACCTTGGAATACTATACAGTCCAAACTGCCCAAGAAGACCATTCAGGGGACCAATAAAATCTGGTCTGTTTGGACAGGTGGTCACTACAGACTGGGTTCTTGATGCTTACAAGTTACATCAATGGGAAAAATTATCTAAGCGACCACCAACAAGTGGTCACATAGGTCAGGTGGTCCTTATGTAAAGGTGGTCACTTGTACATGTTGGACTGTAATAGGAAATTCAACTATGTCTTCACAATTTCTTAAGTAGATCTAGTGGATATGACATGGATTGTACTTTCAAATTTTATATAACTTATTGTAAAATACACCAACTTTTACAATTCATGTAGCAATGTTTAAGTTACCCCTTACCATAGTTACCAATAGTTAATGTCAGATTTGTAAATCTGCACCCTTCCAGCTCCACATTGACACCGGGCACATCCATGAGCCCACCTCACCAGAGCACAAGGAAGTGGACTTCTTTGACGAGCACGTGAACGGAACGAAAGCGGCGCCCGCCGCGCCCGCTGCCCCCAGCCTGGTTGGCTCGTCTCTCTCCCAGCCTATCCAGATGCCGTCCAATGGCAAGAAGGCAGAAGAAACAGGTATCGTAAATTTCGTGGGGACGTAATCTCGCAATAGAATGGGAAAGGAGGTTTTCTCAAGTGTTCTCAGTTCATGGTTTAAACAATTCTGTTGTACAAGAAAGCAAGTGAGACAGGTCCTGTACTATAAATGCATATGGGACGTAATTTTAGTAGAAGGGGAAAAAGTTTTTCTCAGTGTTTTCAGTAAAGATGGTGCATACTGGTTTCTCTGCTTAGCTCTCAGCATTTGGGAAAGAGTGTGGGAGTTAAACACACACCACTACCAGTGGACTAGCCCCATGCTGTAGTGCTTATACAATTGTGTGGCCCAAGGGCTACAGAAACACATGGGCACCACCCTATGAGCAATAAATAGGTGTGTGCAGCAACTATGACTTGCTAACTGTGACCTTTTTTTGCACCACCAGAAGATGCGGATGGTCGGGCACCAGAGGTCCATGCAGCACTCAGCATGTCCCCTACATCAGCCAAGCTTACAGCAGGTCAGTAAACAAACAGCTATTTCATGTTTAAGAGGAACACAACTTTTTTTACAGGTAGAAACCATATCAATGTGAATATTTGCTTCTTTTTGCACATTTGTGTCTGTGAATTTAGGCCACAGCAATTCACTTTGTTGGTTCTCAGATTGTATGTGTAACTGGAAAAACATTCTTAAAAGCAAAGCAAAGGATCAGCTGCATTCAGTTTATACAGTGAATTCAGTCATATTCAGGTTTTTCTGTTTGCCATATGTTTTTATGATGTCTGCTTGCTATATACAATGTATATATTTCCACCTTTAAAGGTCTGAGAACAGGAAATAAGTTGGTGTGGCCTTTCTGTCATCTTACATACATGTACTTTGTAGAAGGTTTTTGTTTTTTGGGTTCGGTCCCGAGCGCTCATTCACTGTGACCGTTTCCTTGCGCCCCCTAGCAGCTCTGACACCAACTCCAGAGGCAGCCTTACTGTCTGGACACAGGCTAGACTCAGGTCTCACCGTGAGCTGTGTGAATAGTGCATGTCTGCAAACCTCCCTGCCTCCCCTACCCTACTGTTGTTGCTTTTTTCATCAAGCTCAAAACTTCAAGGCTCATTGGAGCCACTCAAATATTTTGGGTTACCGTACAGACAGTGAGGACAGATGTTTGTTGACCTTAGACTTGGAAAGTTTTAAGTTTATACTGTTGTTGTTTCTTGGTTTGCTTGTAGTTTTAAAAAAACATCTTCCTCCTTCAGATTTTTTGTTGTTTGAGTTGTAAAAGGAGCAAGATTTGGGAAGTTATTAATAGGTTTTGAACCATCTAAATATGGGAATTTCATGGAAAGATAGGAGGAAGAGAGCTTTCGGTTGTCGCAAGATGATATTGCAGGTTGAAAATTCCTTAGTTGAAAATTTCTGTGGTTGATGTTAGTTCAAGTTCAAAAAGGGTAGGGGGGAATGGAGTGGTTTGTAGACATTATAGTGCTGATGCTGGTCGAACTGATTACTTTTGTTGTTTTGTTTTTTGTTTTACTTCACCTGCTTTGGTTAGCCAGAGAAAGATTCTAGCACTTTCAGCTGCTTATTTTTGTATCAAGCATTTGCATACACTTTTCAGTATGCCTTTTTATTTTAGTATCCTTGTTGGTCAGTTGACATTGCTCTTTTAGCTTCTTTTCAGCTTCCACATGTTGTCTTGCAATTTCAGCTTCATATTTTACTAACACTGCCTTCCATCCTTACTTAACAAATGTACTGTCCCTCTACTTTTGAAAGGGACAAACCAGTTATACTGCCTTTTGGGAGCTGAAATAAACCATTGCAACAGTGGCTTGCCAAATTTGTTTCTTTCAGGCCAGCATTGGCAATGGTTTGTGCCAAGAATTACGAGCCTCATTGAAATGTTTTTTTCTTTAGTTCCAGTGGTTTGAGAAGTTTGCTGATCTACATTTTCACTTTTTCAGACACTGAGTTTGTTTGTTTGTGCTTTTTCCATGCCATCATTCTTGCATTCTTGTAGCTGTAACTAATCCTTGTTTTTGTTGGCAATGAAATATTATGGTTGAGATCCAACTTGCTCATTCAACTTGCCAAGCATTAGGGTGGCTTTGCACAACTATTGTATTTGTATTGAATAATGATAATATATTTATGAAATTAAATCTCTTCTCCCCTCTACAGAAACCCACAAGCCGACTATAGGCACCAGGAAGCCGGCCAGTGCCAAGAAAACAAAGTCTGGGGTATGTAGATCTTATATTTTTATGTTTACCTTTGCAGAAGGAAAATATATTGTTTTTGCTCTGTTTCCTCTTCCTTTTCTTCTTCTTTTTATCTAAGACCAGGAATAAGGGAGAGATTTTTTTTTCTAGTTGGGAGCAAAGAAGGGAGGACTGGGTGCACAGAAAGTCAAGAAAGACTTTAAGACCATCGAGAAACAAGCCCTGGAACAGGACAAGCTGAAAGCTGAGATGGACGCTCAGGTCAAGAAAGAGGAGAGCAAAGAGACCCCCATGTGAGTACCTTTTCCTCTTTCTTAGTCATAGATCTTAAGTTTAAAGGCATCCAATGCCTTTAAACTTAAGATCTATGAAGTTTTTAGGGCTTGGAAACCCAATTTTTCAACATCAATATTTTAGTCACTTATCTACATACTGAGTTGAAATCACACTATCCCAATGTATATTGATTCTCATGGAGCAAAGATTTCCAGTAGCATACATGTGGTGGCATAGGGTGAGCAAAAACAGCCAACCTCTTGGTTCAGAGGTATGGTTGCTGACCATTGAGCTACACACTGAGGTAGCTCTTTGGGCTCCAAGTGTGTAATGGGTATGTGGTCAGGCAGCAGGGAGAAGTTTAAAGAATGATTTAAAGTTTAAAGTCTTGACAGTAGTTGTCAGTTGTCAGTTGCCAGTTGTGTGTTTCTCATGTGCCTATCCTGATTTTGTAGGGTCCAGTCCATGCGCCTGGCCTACCAGGACATGAACCTGGGGAAGAACATGAAGCAGCAGGAAGAGAAGCTGAAAGCATCGGACCCTCGCAAGGCACAGCAGGCAGAGAGACTAGGCATGGGCCTGGCTGGGACAAGGAGGTCAGTTTTTGATAAATTCTATGATATAAGACTTGTGATAAGTTATGTCAAAGCGTTGACAGACATTCATACTATTTTGTCAAGTTAAAGAAATTTTCAGGAAAAAGACTCCAAACAGTAGTCAAATATGATGAAAAGGATTTTTTCTTAAAACAGAATGTTTACAAGTTGATCATGTGGTGATCATGTGGTGCATGATCATGTGATGATCATGCCCTGATCATGTGATGCTCATGTCCTGATCATGTGATGCTCATGTGATGATCACACTGAGTTTCTTAAGGTACTCTCAACTTCTCAAGGTATGATCATACCTTGATCATGTGATGATCATGACCTGATCATGTGATGAGCAGATCCTGATCATGTGATGCTCATGCCCTGATCATGTGATGATCATGTGATGATCACACTGAGGGATTCTCAAGGTATTCTCAACTTCTTAAGGTATGATCATACTTTGATCATGTGATGATCATGCCCTGATCATGTGATGATCATGTGCTTTCCTGCAGCGGAGTGTCCCACTCAGTGGTGCAGGAGATGAAGGTGATTGACCAGGTCACGCCCGTGTCGTCCTCACGAAAGGATCGGGACGACTTCGACAGTTTTGACGACTTTGCATCCAGCTACACTTCCGGACCCCCAAAGTGAGTAACAGTTTTTTCCTTCATTGCAGTACGTAATTTTTACAACTGTGCAGACTGATAAAATCTGGTCTATGTGGACAGGTGGTCACTATATCAGGATTCTTCAAGCTTCTGTCAATGTGAACAATCATCGAAGGGACTACCAAAAACTTGTGACATTGGCCAGGTGGTCCTTCTGTAGTGGTGGTCACTTGTACAGGTTTTCCTGTATCTCTTTATTAATATTTATATGCCTTGTTCATAATGGAAACTTTATCTCACTGATACACACAAAAAAAAGTTACTCACTGGATGTCAGTGATGAAAAGTAGTGGATTTTGTTTGAAACAGTTTTCAAAATCTATCCAGTTGCTTGAGTAACAATTTCCTTGTGTATCTCATTACCTGTAACGGGGGGTGCCCTAATTCCGACCTATGTTCCATGCAAACGCACATACCTTTGGTAATAGTTTATCTGACCAAAAACCCGCGCAACATGAGATATAATATTGACAGATAAAGATCACAACGATTAAAGCTGCACAGCTGTTTATTTCACTTGAGTGTAGCGCCTTGCACCCAAGCGTAATGGTTCGCGAAACGCACGGCAGGTTTTTTGTCATTTTGCCGGTGGAACGTTCTATCGCAATAGGGGTGCCCTAATTCCGACCTAGTGTTTAACACAGGGCGATCTGAGAAGAGAGTTTAGAAATTATAATACACAAATTATGACTAAAGCAATCTACAACTGTTTTTCTGTCCCAAACGATTCCTCTTTTTACGATTACGCGACTTGCTCCAAAGTGGCTATTTGAAAAGCAAAACCTGCATTTTTGACACGCTCGTCAACCCCCGAACAAGCGTCGAATTCACACAGATTTTTAACTCGTCTGTTGTCGGAGTGTACAAACTAAAACAAACTTTGTGAGGTTACCGATATCAACACAAAATCATTGTCCATTCTTGCGGTTATTTTTAGGTACGTGCTCCCATGCATAACGCTGCAACAAGGATTTTTCAAACTAGTTCGGTATTAGGGATGGGTCGGAATTAGGGCACCTCCCGTTATATCTAACTTTCATTGACTTTATCTGACTGAGTTGTTTTTTTCTCCAAAATGACAGATATAATGACAACCCGTTCCGTGACCGTGGGCGGGACAGAGGTAACTATGGCGATGACGGACTGGGCGATCTGAAGTGGGACAAAACTGACAGGAAGAGAGAAGACGACTTCAACCCTCCTAAAGAGAGGTCAGTGTCAAGGTCTTGCCATGTTTACATAGGTGTTGTTATGTGATTAGCCCCATGATGCAAACTGTAAAATAGAATGTTCTTGCCATTCTGATCGATGAGGTCATGTGCTATGTGTGTGTCTATCATGTGATACATCTGATCGTGTGAAAAGAGTTCAACACTGCTAGCCAATAGGCTGAATTGCTGTTGGGATGTTACAATGCATTCAAATCATTCATAGAACAAAGAAATTTAAGCAGTTTAAATAGCATAAATACCATTTGAAATGTATAATGTACATATCACAAATATACTTGAAGTTTGTCTTATAGCTCAAGATCTTAATTATTAATCCTAATCTAAACGAGATATAGTTTTTGCTGACACACTAAAAAATAAATCAGAAGATTCTACTAGATACGTCAATGAAGGTTAGACATCCAGGTAATGAGATACACTTAAGAAAACAGTAACTGTTACTCAAGCAACTGGATAGATTTTGAAAACATCAAACTTACAGTCACTGATGAAAAGTAGTGGATGCTACTTGAAACATCTGACAGTTCCTTGAGTAACTGTATTCTTGTGTACAAGATTCTACAAGTTATAAATTGTATACACCTTACATCTAACACTCCCACCCATTCTAGAGATGACATGACACAGGAAGAGTGGCAATCCGAACTGGATGCAAGGTACCACTCCTTAAAACACATAGAAACACGGTGGTGCACTACATAAAGCGGTGGAGGTGCATTCAAGACATGCTGCAATTGTGCACACAATAAGGTCTGCTTATTGAGCAGTGCAATGCAGACTTGCCTAGCAGCACATGTGCATTATGCAATGCAACAGACAAGAGACACTGCAGTGCATGCATACAGTGCCTTTTATTGTGCTTCAACAAGAACTGAGCTTTCTACAACTGCCTGTTGATGAATAGGATGTCACTGAAGCATTTTATGATGTCCGAAGTCCTTGATTGTAAAGAAATGCACTGTTTGGGATATAAATCCTTTGTTGCTGTTAGAGATCCCAAATATGCAAATTGTTTATATTTTAGAGATCCCAAATATGCAAATTTTCAACATTCCATGAATAAATTACTTTCCCCCAGGACCAGTGGCCGTAGGAAGGAGCCAATGGGAATGGCGTACTCCGAGTCGGACGCAGCGCAGACCAAGTTTGCCAACGCCAAGAGCATCTCTTCAGACCAGTTCTTCGGAAGGGAGAAACCAGAGGTCAGCTTTCTGTCTCTGAAGGTCACAATGTCTAGCCAGGAATGCAAGGAATCGAACCTGTGATTTCTGGTTCTTGTGTCTACTCATGTAGCTACTAAGCCATTCAATGCCTAGCCACATGATAAATATTTCAAACGGATTTAGCAAGACACAAGTTTCAAAATTAATACACTTAATTTTTGTGTGTGTGTCATCAACATAACATTACACGTGTACAAACACGTTCTACTGTTTTTCCTGATCACAGTTTGAAGTGCAGCAGCGGTTGGACCGTTTTAGCGGGAACCAGTCCATCTCCAGCGCGGACTTGTTCGGCGAGGACAGGCCGCGGCAGTCCTCCCGTAGCGCGGCCGACATGGCCGGGCCCGACCTGACCCAACTCAAGGAGGGCGTCAAGTCCACTGCCGCTAGAATGGCCACCCTAGTCAACGGTGTTGTTAATACCATACAGGTGAGGACTGATCATGTGGTGTTCATGTGATGATCATGTGACAATCATGTGATGTTCATGCTCTGATCATGAGACGGACATGTGATGGTAACATTGGCCACCCTAGTCAGTGGTGTTGTTAATACCATACAGGTGAGGACTGATCATGTGGGGAACATGCTCTGATCATGTGATGATCATGTGCTGTCACGTGATGATCATGTCACGATCATGTGATGATCATGTGATGGTAACATTGTGGTCACATGGAGTTGGCCATGTGACTCTCAATCTATGATCATGTGATGGTAACATTGTGGTCACATGGTGTTGGCCATGTGACTCTCAATCTATGATCATGTGATGATCATGTGATGGTAACATTGTGGTCACATGGTGTTGACCATGTGGCTCTCAATCTATGATCATGTGATGATCATGTGATAGTAACATTGTGGTCACATGGAGTTGGCCATGTGACTCTCAATCTATGATCATGTGATGATCATGTGATGGTAACATTGTGGTCACATGGTGTTGGCCATGTGACGCTCAATCTATGATCATGTGATGATCATGTGATGGTAACATTGTGGTCACATGGAGTTGGCCATGTGACTCTCAATCTATGATCATGTGATGATCATGTGATGATCATGTGATGGTAACATTGTGGTCACATGGTGTTGACCATGTGGCTCTCAGTCTATGATCATGTGAGCATGTGATGGTCATGTGATGGTAACATTGTGGTCACGTGGTGTTGGCCGTGTGGCTCTACATTGTATGTGTCTATGATCATGTGACAATCATGTGACAATCATGTGATAGAAACATGATCATCATATGTCCATGTATAAGCTTGCTAAAACCACATAAAAAACCTGGAAGTTTTTTGACAGTATATTATCCATACTTCTCATCTATATATAACTATGTGATATGTATAACTTCTAATCTATATATATCTCCAGTTCATGAAGTGCCTTGTAGCTTTAACGTCTTTTTTTTTTGTAATTCTCTGTACTTCTTTTTCAGGACAAGTACGGGTCTTGAGACCAGCATCAGCAAGACCTACCCAACACCATGCAGCCTTCCTAGTATTTATCTGTTGTACACTCATCACCCGTAGTCAACCAACCTGTACACTTCTTTTATCATACCGGTATTATTATTATGCTTTAAGTGGAAAACTTCCCATTGCCATGGAAAACACTGATAGAAGATATAGACCCTGCTTGTAGACAGCATAATGTTGGGATTTAGACTATCAAAGCAATAGAGCACCAATATTATGCAAAAAAATTACCTACTTACTGCATGGTACAGTCCATTTTGTAATGTTCAACCTGTATCAGCTTGGGAGATGCCATTTCATCTGAGGTAGGAATATACCCACACCAATCTAGTAACACACAATTTGGACAAAAGTAAATCCTTTGTGTTTGTCATATTGCTGAAAGGAAGGGGCCTTGGTGCACAGATATGCCAAAATATTTGGAGTAGTTTGCGATTTAATGAATTTGTACAGGAATACTTCAAGAAAAAGAACAGTTTGTACAGGTAAAGCATATTCTGCTAATATTTTGTTGGGGTTAATTAAAAATCACTGATGGTAAGCTTGAATAAAAGTATCATTTCTGCCAGATAGAAGATTACTGAGAAAAGATGTAGTGATACCTGCGCATTAAGATTTATTTTGGTAACATACATGTTCAACATAATGTCATGTCAACGTTAAGTTAATGTATGTCAATGGATGTCAGCCTTGTTTTAGCCAATATCTGTCCTGGGGTAGCCAATATCTGTAATAGGTTACCCTTTATCTTTCTTGGGTTAGTCAATATCTGTCCTGGGTTAGCTACTATCTGACCTGGGTTAGCTACTATCTGTCCTGGGTTAGCTACTATCTAACCTGGGTTAGCTACTATCTAACCTGGGTTAGCTACTATCTAACCTGGGCTTAAGCTACCATCGGACCTGGGTTACCCAGTATCTGCAATGGGTTTGCTACTATTCCCTAGCCTCTACCAGGCCATGGGAGGTGGCTGGAAAAAGTAAAAATCGGCCAAATAGAGAGATAGGATACCAGGGGAGTTGGTCTATTGGAGAGAACAGTTTGCTGCACACTTGGCATGCTATCTCTACTTTTTCCAGCCTCCTCCCGAAGCCTGGAAGAGGCTAACTATTCCCTGGATAAGTTCATGCCCCGGGTTTTGGGTTTGTTTGTATTTGCCTCAGATTCTAGCCATTCTCTTCAAGGGTAAGGTTATTACCTTATTAATCATACCTTATTTACAAGTCCTTAGAATTTATTTTATTTTATTCCACCATTGTAATAAATAATATGGGGTGGTGCAAAAACAATGCTTTCTTCTATCATATGTAATACTTAATTAAGATGTTTTATTAAAAGTAAGACTTTAAATGTTTCCCTTACCTTGTCAACCTTTACCATAAACCTTTGGTTTGAGTAAAGCACTTTGTATATTTGCAGTAATTGGAACTACAGTACTAAGTTTACAGCATTGTTGGTCCCTCTGTATCCACACATTTGTTAACACAGTGCAAAGCACCGTAGAACTCTGTGGCCAGGTATCCAACCGTTTATTGATTAAATAAAGGCAATTAGAAAAAGTACAAGGTCTGATTTATATTTTTTTTTAATGTTGGCGCTAGCATATTGTTCTGTTGTAGTACCATAACAAGCTGCCAGAGGGTCCAAATCTAATCATTCGATGTCTCATCTAGATCTAGCCAGCTACCAATTTCTAGTATCAGGACATTCCATCAGTCTTCTCGAGTCATTGTGTTGACAGACACACACGAACGCAACCTAAAACATAACCGTGGTGAAGGTAATCAATGCTAGAATTATAAGATGTTGCAAAAGCAAACATTCACACTGTACAGCCTTGCACGGAATGTAATCTTGCACTTCGAATGTATTCCAACAGGGGGCGCTCGTACGCGGTCCCTTTTTGAAGGTTTGATGGTTCACCTTTGATGGTTCACGGGAGAGACACCCACACTGCTCAAGTTGGTGGGAAGATTGTGACCTTTCTATCATAAGCCCCGTTGTCTGTTACCGTTTAAGATGGTACATAAACTGACAAATAAATAGAAGCATGCAGTCAAAACAACAATTAAACGTAAACACTCCCTTTGCATTCCGGTAGGACTGGCAGATATTAGGATTAGGAAAGTAATTCAAATTTATGAATCAAGCAGGTGCACAACACCCACTTTTGGTAATGAATTCCTGGGTTAGACTTATAATCTAACCATCAATATCAGAGGAGCAAAGAGAGGACACGTAAAGCAGCAGATGTTTTAAAGCACCTTTTTATGTGGTCGAAGTTTCCTTGGATAATCTCCAAGCAGATGTTTCCGTGGACGCAAAGACAGTATCAAATTTGGCCAGGCAGTATTCATTAGCCAGAACGCGTATCCATTAGCCCCAAACCCCCAAAGGATACTGTCTGGCTAATGAATACTGCCTGGCCAATTTGATACTGTCTTTTGCGTCCACGGAAACATCTGCTTCGAGATTTACCTTGAAGCCTGATTCCCAGATTATCGTAAGACTCTCCCCCACCCCTACCATTAACGGTCCGTCCCTTCCTCCCGTGAGGCGTTTCCTGGCCAGGTCGGAGGTTAATCGTTATCTTTTGGTCCAACATTTGTGAGGACTCATTTGGAGCCCCTCGCTCTGACGGCTGTTCTACGTATACTGTAGGGGGGCCTGCATGTCGTTTTTCATAAGGCGTAATCAGGCCTTTTAGTCGTCGTAAGCCGTAGGTAGCCTCCCGAAAAATCAACGTAATCCGTAATAGTTCATAAAGTCGTAATCAGCTCTGAGAATTTAACGTAATTCGTAATCGGCGGCGAAAATTTTACGTAATTCGTAGTCACTTCTCCCCCATGCACGCCCTCCAGTATAGTCGACGCCCCGCTGTAGAATAGTTAACGTCCATACGGCAAGGTGGGTGGCTCTATCTTTCTTCTATTCAAGAATCTGTGTTACAACTCCTCTAATCTTAAGGTAAGGAATTTCTGTTTCCGAATGTCTTGTAAAGTAGACGGGAAGACGTTCTTGTAGTAGAAGTTCTTGAAGAAGGAACTGGAGAGAAAGTTGGCAGATTTCCAGACGCTATGATGTTGAAGACTTGGGTGTATATTTTTGGCGTGTATGTAGACAGGATAACTAGAACATGGGACATCTATACTCTAGATCTCACCAAGACTAAAGAAACTCTGAAATTTGATAGCAAACTTATCCACAAGTGTTAATCAATTCCACAGTACTAGTAATACATTATCCTTTGTATGGACTGGTTTTTCTAAATCTATGATGCATAAGACATTTTCAATCGAATTTTCAAGTTATTTTTGGCCATGAATAGTTCTGAGGAAGCAAATACAAGTCTGCATTTTACTTTTATCATGAGAACATTTCAGGTCTTTTGGTGACCTTACCATCAGTTGTAATATACCCTTCCACTTGTATTAATTAAGGCAAACGAATAAAAGCCTAGAATTCAATCAAAGCCGACAGAAGCCGACAAAACGTCTATAAAATAAAGACAAGAAATCCCTCGTTAAAAAACAATAGCCTTTTAGTCTTAGTTTGCAGGTTTCCCAATTATGTTTAACGAGGGTGGTAATTGTTTGTTAACGGAAGGGAGTGATTCAATAAAATAAACCGATTAAAGAAAAAAATACACAAGAAAACAGTTACTCAAGGAGCTGGATAGATTTTGAAAACAGTTATTCAAGTAAACAAGTTGCTTGAGTAACTGTTTTCTTGTGTATCTCATTACCTGGATGTCTAACGTTCGTCGACGTTAAGAGAAAAATACACCTAACCGCTATGCCTTTCCCCTTATCCTAAACAAGTCAGCCATCTTTGTCTAGTCCTGTAAGTAGTTAAAAAGGGCAGCATGTCTTTCGTCATTTGAACACCTGCTTCAGGCGTCTTAACACATGAGAAGGGCGCTATTTTAGCCCGGCCTCCTGTGCAGGCCTCCGGGCGGGTGGGAGTTTTGATACTGCGTTTTGTAAGAGTTTTTAACGCGCTCTTCTAATTGTCGGCCATCCTACATCCAGCCGCGAGAGAAGGTTTCCATCCGCCCGTGTTGTAGGATGGCCGGCAATTAAAAGAACGTGTTAAAAATTCTACAAAACGCAGTATCAAAACTCCCACCCACCCGGAGCATGCACAGGAGTAGTGTAGCAGGCTTATAGAACTGGGGTTTTGTGGTCTTCGGCTGTTTTCTGATAGAGTATTCAACCAGGTCGGCTATGTTGTCTATATGCAATTAGAAAATAGCACATAAAAGATCCCAAAGACCCTGAAGACCCCCAAAACCCCCAGTTTTTGGCATGCTATGGAGGTAGCACAGGAGGCTGATTTATTCCGGTCAGCGCCGGTATGCCCCAGCTCCGGGCTCTTCGTTTGTGTGTCTATGCCTCCCGAAGGCGCCTCGACCTCTCGTTTCCGACATGTTCTGCTTTGTAGTTTGGTGGTTCGGCCTTGCCGGCTAAATTCCGCGCGCTCTCGCGAACTTCTTAAGTTTGCCGGCGTGCTAGTCCAGTTCTCTGGCCACCGGCATACATACGTAACGTACATACAGGAGGTTGGGGTATCCTTCAATGGTACACGCAGGCCTCAAAAGTTTTAAGGCAAAAGTTTCAACCAACCAACTGTACATGTGTACAATTAAGAAGGCAGGGGTACTCTAGCTATATTCAGTATGATAGCTTTTTATGCCTTTTCTACAAAACATCATCATACCAGTATGATCTCTTGATGTCCACCGTCAATATACTCTATTTGAAGCTTGCATTTCAGCTTGCGTTTCAAGTGTTACGGCAAATAATACAATCAAGGGTTGATTCTGGTGATCGACATACAGCATTAGGAGGACTTGTGTTTATAAATTATGAAAGTGATCCGCCTTTGCCCTAGTTGCCTGTATGTGAATGCTGTTCTATTTTAATAGGTCTGGATAGTTGCCCGCTCAGATCTGATAGTCTAGTCTGTTCTGTCTACGCTCCCAGCCTGAAGTTACTCTCGTACACTAACAACATGTGTCAGGAGATGTTAGCGTCAATCTCCAAGCAGATACACGGGGTGTTTTGTACGTCGATCACTCTCTTCTTGTATTAATCATCATGGGGGGGGGTGACTATGGGAAACGTGGCTACATACTTTGTCTAGGAAAACGAAACGACTAGATGAATCATAAATAGACTTGTATCTGTTGTACGTTGATCAGCGTATCTACCGGAAGATTAGGTATGAGTATCATACGATCTCATACTATCAAACTCTGGGAAAGCTAGCCTGGTCAAAATCCCTCGCAGGATAAGAATGCCATCATATACAGAGGCTCGTTAAGTTAGTATCCTAACGAGTCTGATCGCGAGACTTCCCTGTCCTCGATTTGAGTGTGCCCAGCCTGTCGTGACAGTTCCTTCCTTATCCTTCACCGGTCTGCACGTCTTAGCTAGCCTCTACCAGGCTTCAGGAAGCGACTGGAAAGAGTTGAACGGACAGTGGAAAACTGTACAGATGTAGTCAGACGAGCAGGACGTCGACATGGCTGTGTGTGTATCCTAAGGATTCTGATCGCGAGGCTTCCCCGTTCTTTATCTTACTGTCAGAGTCTTTCCTTATCCTTCAGCGGTCTTCACGTCTCAGTTTATGAAAGGAGCGAGGTTATCGGGGTTTAAATGATGTAATCAGAAGAGCAGGCGAGGACATGGCTGTGTGTGTATCCTAAGGATTCTGATCGCGAGGCTTCCCCGTTCTTTATCTTACTGTCAGAGTCTTTCCTTATCCTTCACCGGTCCTCCCGTCTCAGTTTACGGTATGAATGCTGAGGTCGGAAGAGCGGGACATTCTGGGCTGCTGACCGCCGGCACGACACGGGTCCGGTAACACCGTTAATTGGGGGTAATGAAAAGCCGATGAAAACTAGGGGCGGGTGGGACTGGATTGGGCCAGTTTGGACCAGGATATGTCTATGATAAACCTCCTTGATAGGCCTTGATACTATCCTAGCCTGGTGACCACCAAACCTATCCTCTACCAGGCACCGCGGATCGCTGGAAAAAATACATTTGTAGTAGAATTGACCGAAATAAAGGATATTGGATCCTCTCTGACCGGCTAACACCCCTGGTATACTATCCGTTTATTTCGGCCTATTTCTACTATTTTTCCAGCGATCCGCGGTGCCTAGTAAAGGCTACAACAAACCTATTTTTGCTGCCGGGTCTCTTTCGTCCTCTGGGTGACTTTCCCGTTGACACAAGAAACATGTCTATTAAAAGCATGAAAGTGACCACCTGTCAGCATAGACCAGATTTTGTTGGTACCCTGAGCGGTCGTCTTGGGCAGGTTGACTGGACTTGTACATCCCTTCCGTAATCTTCTTGAGTTCGATCCCGGGCCAAGTCATACCAGTAAAGACTTTAAAATGGTGCATACTAGTACTGCTTTCTCTGCTTAGCACTCAGCATTAAGGAAAGAGTATGGGAGTTAAACACACACCACTACCAGTGGACTAACCCCCTGTTGTAATGATTGCACAACTGTGTGGCCCAAGGGCTACTGAACCGGAGATGGGCAC